GATCTCGGGGGCAGAAGTTGCTGAGGTAGTCAAACAACTAAACAGCGGCGGAGCCCCGGGGGCGGATGAGGTTCGTCCTGGGTATCTCAAGGCTATGGATGTTGTAGGGCTGTCATGGTTGACACGTCTCTACAACATTGCGTGGTCATCGGGGGCAGTTCCTAGGGAGTGGCAGACCGGGGTGGTGGTCCCCATCTTTAAGAAGGGTGACCTGAGGGTGTGTTCCAACTATAGGGGGATCACACTCCTCAGCCTCCCTGGAAAGGTCTACTCCAAGGTACTGGAGAGGAGGGTCCGATCGATAGTTGAATCTCAGATAGAGGAGGAGCAATGTGGTTTTCGTCCTGGCCGTGGAACTGTGGACCAGCTCTATACCCTTGCAAGGGTGATGGAGGGGGCATGGGAGTTTGCCCAACCAATCCACATGTGCTTTGTGGATTTGGAGAAGGCTTATGACCGTGTCCCCAGGGGCACCCTGTGGGGGACGCTCCAGGAGTATGGGGTGGGTGGCTTTCTGTTAAGGGCCATTCAGTCCCTTTACCAGAGGAGCGTGAGTTTGGTCCGCATAGCCGGTAGTAAGTCGGACCTGTTCCCAGTGAGGGTTGGACTCCGCCAGGGCTGCCCTTTGTCACCGGTTCTGTTCATCACTTTTATGGACAGAATTTCTAGACGCAGCCGTGGTGTGGAGTGTGTCGAGTTTGGTGGCAGGAGAATCTCGTCTCTGCTTTTTGCGGATGATGTGGTCCTCCTAGCTTCATCCAGCTCTGACCTTCAGCTCTTGCTGGGTAGGTTCGCGGCCGAATGTGAAGCGGCTGGGATGAGGATCAGCACCTCCAAATCTGAGACCATGGTTCTCGACCGGAAAAGGGTGGCTTGCCACCTCCGGGTCGGGGGAGAGGTCCTACCTCAAGTGGAGGAGTTTAAGTATCTCGGGGTCTTGTTCACGAGTGAGGGTAGGAGGGATTGGGAGATCGACAGGCGGATTGGTTCGGCGTCTGCAGTGATGCGGACGCTGAGCCGATCTGTCGTGGGGAAGAGGGAGCTGAGCCAGAAAGCCAGGCTCTCGATTTACCGGTCGATCTACGTCCCAATCCTCACCTATGGTCATGAGCTTTGGGTAATGACCGAAAGAACGAGATCGCGGATACAAGCGGCCGAAATGAGTTTCCTCCGTAGGGTGGCCGGGCTCAGCCTTAGAGATAGGGTGAGGAGCTCGGACATTCGGGAGGGACTCGGAGTAGAACCGCTGCTCCTCCGGATCGAAAGGAGCCAGTTGAGGTGGTTTGGGCATCTGGTCAGGATGCCTCCTGGACGCCTCCCTGGGGAGGTGTTTCGGGCATGTCCTGCCGGCAGAAGGCCCCCGGGTCGACCCAGGACACGTTGGAGAGGTTACATCTCCAATCTGGTCCGGGAACGCCTTGGGGTCCTGCCGGAGGAGCTGGTGGACAAGGCCGGGGAGAGGACGGCCTGGAGCTCCCTAGTTGGGATGCTGCCCCCGCGACCCGGACCCGGATAAGCGGAGGAAGACGAGAGACTTTAATCCTTTGTCAGACTATCTCTATAATAATTAGCTTTGGCATTTCTTGTTTATATTGTGAAACGTTTGTATTCCGCCTGATCATCAGGTGTTTGTTTATATGTAGTCCGAGCCCTATCCCTTTGTTTATAAAGATTAATTAGGTCACCATTAACCCAAGGCAGATGCTGGCCCTTAACCTTAATGGATTTCCATGGGGCGTGTCTGTCAATTATCCCGACGCTGTTATAAAAAAAGTCCCATGCGGCTTCAAGTAAAGCCTGTTCCAGTTTATCCTTAGAATGTCATTAATAAATAGATTATTGAGTAGTTTTGTTTTCCGAACATAGATATATTTCGGAGGAAGGTGAGGAGTTTTAATTTTCCAGATATAGTAGATAATGGAATGATCACCAAAGCAATCAGAGTGTATTCCAGAGGTTGTTATTCAGTTTGGATGAGAAGCAAGAATCCAGTCAATAAGGGATTTAGACTTGGGCTTGGCAGAAAGAGGTACTTAAGTCCTTTATTTAGAAAAGGGATGTATATCCGTCCTCTTCTAAGGTGTATGGCAACCTGCCCTATTGATGACATCAGTAGTGGTGAGTACGTCACGCTGTTCATTGTCAAAGAGTCGATATATATATATATATATATATATATATATATATATATATATATATATATATTAGTCTATATATATATATATATATATTAGTCTATGTATATATATATATATATATTAGTCTATGTATATCTTGTAGCAGAAATCCATATTTCAAATTCTCAGATTAGCTTTCGTTGGATTCACACGAAGAAGAACAAAACCATTTTTACACAAAGTTTTTCTTTCTCTCACACTTAGCAGCAAAAAGGGGAAACTTGAAACTAGCCCACAGCTTTTCAGCATTCTGGTTAACTCATACGATTCTCTCCCAGCGTCGTAAATTGCACCAATTTGACTGGTCTCCCTTCTGTACCAATCGGAGAAGCAGGACGATATCAGAAACTGGTCTGTTTTACATCATCCCATCAAGACTGACCCTTTACTCAAGATAGGGATAGTCGTAAAACTTCTTTTAGGTCCGTCTGGGAGCTTCAAGCATTTGAATCTTTATAAAACCTTGTATTTCTGTTTATCTACAATCAAAGAAGGTGTTTTAGGTTGTTTACCCTTAAAAATTTTTGAGGTGTTGAAAGTAAATGTTTAAATTCTTATTAGTTACAAACCTAAATGCTTGTTTGTGCTCTTTTTATTTTTTCATGTTAAACATCTGTCATTTTTGTTTCTCCAGTTAAAATTCATGCTAACGGTAAAACTGTCCAGTTTTAAAACATGAATTTAGTTATTTCCTGTTTAAAGTATTACTTTTGGATGCCTCATCTGGATAAATTTGGCAAACTGTGATGTGAACCTTTCACTGTGGGAAAGATTGAGTCAACTGAAAGAGCCATAGTGCCATCCAGTGGTTAATGAGTGAAATACGTGTGGTCGTGACCAAGAAAGGTTATAAAGGTCAGAGTTCAAACCTCGTGACGGCAGAAAAAAGAACAAAGGACGACTTAAGCACAAATCCCTGCGGGGCTTTTCCATCTCGCCTAGCAACGACGTCGCTCTTAAAGTTCCCAACTCATTAGCGCTCTGAAAAAAGTACAGTAGAACTCAGCAGCAACTCTGTTTTGTTTTGATTTTCTATGTAAAATCAGATGTGGGTTCAGTCCGGTCGAGTTTTCACGTTAAGAGTTCAAACTAATTTGGATCAGTTTTTGATCCGGCATCGTTTTTTTGAATCTGGACCCATGCTCTGAATTCTATGTTTCGGTGCAGCTGAAGGAACCTAAGGTCAAGCCATTTCAGGGGAACGCTTCTCCTGAACTCAACAGACTCCGTTGACCAACTCGGTCAGGCCAAAATCTCATTGTCCAAGAAGCCTCTTCACGAGCAAGGACCAGCTGCCTCAGCCCTTTGGCTACCCTCTGGCAACAAGGAAAACAGGCCTGTGAATCATTTCATTCGGCTGACTTTTATGCTAAGCCGATTAGTGAATTCACATGAACATTCACTTGTTCCCCTTTAGAAATGATTCCCAATTCTACCATAATCTGGTGTGTCACCAAATCTCCACTTTTATTACAGATCAGTTATTTCATATCACTGCCATAAAGCTTTGGGTTTAACCATTTTCTCAATCCCATGCATGAAACTGTAAGATACGTTTGATCCATCTGTCAAATGTATTAACTGATGTTTGTAATAAACACAAAAATGTAAATAACGCCTGATCATTTCTAGCAATCTCGAGAATAGTCGGCGCATTCTGGCAAGAATTCATCCTTTAGGTTAATTTGTGGTGTTACATTTGAGACTGGTTACACTGAACAAATATGAATATCAATTCAAGTGTTCCAAGTTCACACTAACAAAGACTTGGTGGTGCCCCGATTAATTAATATAAGATTATAAACGACTAAACAAGCTAAATCTACACCACATTTGATACACATAGATATAAATTTATATTTATCGCTTCTATATATATATATATATATATATATATATATATATATATATATATATATATATATATATATATATATATATACTGCCTATGTTCCAGGGCTGCATTTACCCATTTATATAAATCTTTTAGTAAATTTCCATACATAAATGTTGAAAAATTATGAGTTGTAGGTTTGGGCTGCAGAAGTTTTAATTATAGATTCACTAGGATAAATACAATAAAGTTCATCTCTCACCAAATACAATATTTACTAAGAAATCACATGTAACTATAGAAACACTACTTGGTGTATATGTTGTGTGTGTGTGTGTGTGTGTGTGTGTGTGTGTGTGTGTGTGTGTGTGTGTGTGTGTGTGTGTGTGTGTGTGTGTGTGTGTGTGTCTGTGTGAGTGTGTGTGTGTGTGTGTGTGCGTGTGCGTGTGCGTGTGTGTGTGTGTGTGTGTGTGTGTGTGTGTGTGGTTAAAAGGGAGTTTTCCTCTCCACTGTCGCTGCATGCTTGCTTAGTATGAGGATTGCTGTAAAGACGCTGACACTAGTCAGTGACTCGATGCGACCTGCTGGGTTCCTTATATAGGAAACTTTTTACTGATTGGCTTAATGACCTGACCTGTATTGGAATGTTTACTATGTGAAGGTCCTTGAGACAACTCTTGTCGTGATTTGGAGCTTTATAAATAAACTTGAATTGAATTGAATTGAATAGAAGATCTTCAGACCTGGAATGGATCCATTTATTTTTGTTTTTTACGTTATAATTTTCTATGTATAAAGAACGGTGGTTATTATGACTTTGGATTATAGGCTATCAGAGACAACCTGAGCCAAATTTCCGATCCATCCATCCAATGTAAAAGCATTAAATCATTATATGAAAAGCTTACACCATGACCGTTAATAAAACGGTGTCCCATCAGACGGTCATTTGATTACCAGACAAGAAGGAAGATGATTCGTACTCTTACCTTGTCCAGGTAATAGTAGGTTTGGGGTTTCCTCCATTTGTACACGTCAGCGAAGCGTCCTCTTTACCAACATACCAGTTTTGATAGTACCCAGTCACGTCAGCATGTGGAGGAACTGGAAGGATAAATACGTTTTAATAGTGAAGACAAGTAGAGGGAAGAAGAAATGTGTATATGTAAACATACTGAAAATATGTTAGTTTAAGTGAGAAGGGTCAGATCATCGGCATCAAGCAGAGAAAACATCTAAGGAGATGCAGAAGCAACTAAAACTGGGTTAAGAACTGTCCAATGCTTTATTAAAAACTGGTCTGATGAGTCCTGGTGGACCCTGATCCAGAGTGATGGTGCATCAGGGTAAGAAGAGAGGCAGATGAAGTGATGCACCATCATGCCTTTTGCCTACTGTACAAGCCTGTGGGGGCAGTGCTATGATCTGGGCTTGCTGCAGGTGGTCAGGTCTAGGTTCAGCAACAAGATGTTCTCCAAGAATGAGGTCAGCTGGCTATCTGAATGACCAGGTTAGTCCATCAATGGATGTTGTTACGGCCCAAAGCCCTTTGTGGTGTGGCATAAGAACCTGATTGTTTCCAGGTGGAGCTGATCCCTGACTGGAGGCAGCTGTGAGTGTTGCTGCCAGAGGAAAAGGATGAAGGGAGCCTAACACAGCAGGCAGAGTGTTGGGTATTTTTATAATTGTACCTTTTTGAGGCCTAAAAGATGGCCAACTGTTGCTGTTCATGAAAGGTTGAGCAAGGATGTTGATTGTAAGAAAACTGTACCTCTGTAACATGAGAAGGCCCGCCTTCTCCCCCATCCTTGGTGAATAAAGCCCCTGACGAACTAGGAGCACAGGGGAGTGACGTGGGGAAGCCTCGGAGGAGGTTCCTCTGCGTTAACTCTCCATGTTTTGGAGACTCAGGGTAAAATGTCTTCCTTGTTGTCGTGTGTGTTATTACAGGTTCCAGAGTTATGGAGATTAAATATTACCTAACATTCTGGTCTCCTGATGGAGACCGCGGGTATGCAGAGCTGGTGAGGTGAAGGCTTTGAGGCTGGAGCAGAGTGGGGGCTGGTTGGTTGAGTCCAGCTTCTCGCATGTTGAGCCACGCACATGGACATTACAAATAATCAATTTACTCGCTCTCTCTCTCTCTTCGGGTGTGTCGTCCTTTAAGGTAATATGGGATAAAATCAAATTACCTATCACAGAGGGAGAGACACAGCTGTATAAAATAAAACTACACCTTTTTGGTCATGACTCCCAATCCTTCACCCTCCTCTGCCTCCTCATTTAGCCTTCTACCTTCATTCAGCTCACCTGGTCCCCTCATCAAGCTACAGCCAAGCCCTGTTTTCCCTAGCAACCTCAGTCAGCACCTCATCTACTCCATTCATCTCACCTGTTCCTGTCTCCTCAGCTCATCACACACACCTGCTTCCCCTGCTATACATTCACCAGCCTGCCACCAGTTCACTGCCAGATTATTGAAAGCCAACGCCAGTAAATCTTCCAGCCATTCACCCTGCCTGATCTCAGCCTCCGGACCTTGTTTCGCTCCTGACCCCCTGTCTTGAACTCTGCCTGCCACCACGACCTTCGCCTGCCTCCGACTGTCTCAGCCTCGCCCACCTCTGGTAACTCTGCATCAAATAAAGACTTTTTTATCTACTTTTATTGTGTTTGGCGTCCTCAAGGGTCTTTTGAAGTTCTGCCCGTGACATTTACTTTCCATGAGTCTTCCCCTTTTGTTTGTTATGGCTAAAGCACGGGACACACAGAAGACAGATGTGCTGCGCCACGGAAGCGCCGTGGCTTTGGGAAGTCAAATGGTCACACAGGACTCATGACACTGCTGAGCACTTCTCGGAAAATCGCGCAATAGTCACATCAATCATCGAGCGGGTCCTGAGAACAGGAAGCGGAAAGTGACTCTCTTTTGTTTATACGTGATCGAGCTTGCCGTCGCGTTTAGTGAGACTCAAATTCATTAAAGAGTGGGTAAGTACACTACTTATTAGAATATTTTAAGATCAATAGTACTTTAAAGTAGGGAAGTCCTGATCAGCATTTTAGGCTCCCGGTTCCAATCCGATCTTTTAACTTCAAATCCAATCCGATAGTTTGACTTTACTACTGACATTAACAAAGCTGAAATCTATTTTTAGCAAGTAACTCAACTTTCAAAGACTAAACTCCTTGTCCACGTTTCTGTGGTTGGGTTTGTGCTGTAGAGCCGTTCCGCACCATAATGTCTGTTGTAAAGTACTCCACGATGTTGCAAACAGCCGCGCCACAGCGCCTCGGCATGGGCCCGCACTTCTGGGACGTATTTTCTAAATGACAGCATGGATGTGGCGTGGCACAGCACATCTGCCTTCTGTGTGCCCCAGGCTTTAGAGGCAGGTTCTTCCCTGACGGCACGGCCATGTCCCAAGATGACCACACCAGGATTCATCGTGTCAGAGAGTGAGAGAGTGGTTCAGGGAGCACGAGACATCATTTTCACACGTGGATTGGCCACCAGAGTCCAGACCTTAACCCCACTGAGAATCTTTGGGATGTGCTGGAGAAGGCTTTGTGCAGCGGTCAGACTCTACCATCGTCAGTGCTAGATCTTGGTGGAACGTTAATGATGGAAATAAATCTGATGACATTGCAGAAACTTATGGAAACAACGCCACAGCGAATGTGTGTCATCATCAAAACTAAAAGCGATCCAACTAAATGTTAGTGTGTGGCCTTTAATTGGCCAAGCAGTGTGCTTACATTGTACCACCAGTTGGTTTTTCATCCGGCGTGGGGTTGGGAAGAGTGGATGCCACACCAGACAGTCCAGCTTCATCCCGTTCATTCTCCTCAGAGGATGCAGCGAGAAGTACGTGGACACAGCTCCGTTGTTGGAGGTCCAGTTGGAAGCCTGGCCATTTAGATCAGTGTCCCAGGAGAGTTGGGGAGGTGGGAAGCCTACAGAGCGACAGGAGGCCACCTCCCTGAAGGCCTCTCCCTCCACTACAACCACAGAATCTATGCTGGAAATGGGAACAACTGAAAGGAAAATGGAAGACGGTTTGATAAGAGTGATGAGCACTGACAAATTATGATAATCAAAAAGGTAATAAGTAAAATTATATTAATGTCTTTTTATCCTGCATTACTACAAATAATAACATTTACTAATGAATTATCTGAACTGAACTAACAGTTTGTAGGATATTTGTAACTTTCACAGGGAAACACACTTTAAAAAACCTCTAGACTCGTTAGATGATGAGGATGTACATTATTGCATATTACTGTGTTATGCATGTAGAGACATAACGACATGTGACAATAAACAGTCTTGTGACAGCAATGAGTTCCTTTACTGCTCAGATCTGTTCTGTTTAAGAACGTCTTGTCTCGTTTATTTAGAGATGAACCCAAAAACCATCAGCTGGACTCACTCCAAACAGAGAGGGACGTCTCCAAGTCAACGTTTCCACCTGGAAAGGTTGTGATACGACATATGTAATCGCCCTGGTCAGAGAAACGCGTGTTCATGATGACCAGGGTTGAATCTTCAATGGGTTTAATGCTTTTAAAGTAGACACGGTTCATCCACGCCCCAGACCCTGCAAACGGAGAGCGAGAGGTCAGAAATGATTTAAATGATGAAGATCAGACAGTAACAGTGGATTCTAGTTGTTGTTGTTCGTTTTTTTTTTAAATGTGACAAATTTAAACAACCCAGTCAACCAAGAAGCTCAGAACAAACACAAATACCAACAGGGGAACATTACAAGGCGCCATGGGTACTTTTAGGCCCAACGCTAACATATCCCACACAGATGTGTGTTAGTGTACAGACAAAAAGGATTCAATGTTATAAATTAGTTCGATTCAGCAAACAGAACAAACTCCACACACCTGTTTGTCCATTTATGTGGTGCACAGCGATCATCTGCTCTTTGGTGCCATCAGGTTTCACCTTCATCCAGGTGACCTGCACTATTACATTGTTTCCACTTGGCTGGTAGTGACAGGGCAGGATGGTCTGTGTGTCCTCCACAGACTGAATGTTATGGTTCGAAGACGCTTCTGTAGGCTCTTCCTGGATCGCTGTCACTGAAACCCAAGGATGTTTGCTAAAGCCATGACCTTCAAATATTATGAGATTTGCTTGGTGGTTTTTTTTTTTTCACTTGTCCTGTCTGGCTGTGAAGCAAACAGAATGAATGTCTGAATGATGGTGACAAGCCTTACAGATTTACTCTCAGGTGGCGCATCAGAGCTTCTGCTTTAATGTCACGCCTGATACTTAAAACTTTATTGTTTAAATCTAACCAGACACAGAGACAGAGGAGAAAGACAAAGGAAGAGACAAGGGGGGGGGGGGGGGGGGTTCCACAAAAATAAACAATCAATGATGAACAAGAATCTGCTTCTAGACCTGCAGAAAGAGAAAAATAAACCAAAAATAAAGGGGGACACACAACAATACAACAAATAAACATTGTTTTATTGAGCAATCACGATAATACATCACAGTGCATTTAGTGCCAGCCACAGCCTAAAGATATGTGTTGAAAATGCCCAAGTCCATACTTATGAGAGCACCATGTGAGCACCTGTGTGTGTACACGCGCTTGTTTATGTAAGGTTTATCTATAAGAGCATCCAATGGTGAGGGGCCACAGATCTGCCCCCCAAAGATGTGTAGGATATGGAAGGAGCTCCAAGTCCCAGAGATCCAAGAGCTGTCCCAGAGCGCAGGGACCCCAGGGAGACTGTAACCAGAAAAGCCCCTGCCCCCCTCGAGAGGCACACAGGATTGTCCCGGGGGGTCACAACCAGCAACCGGCAGAGTCCCGGGAGATATCAGCGGCAAGCCCACAGGCCCGCCGGCAGCCTCCCACCCCCAAGCTGGCCGAGCCCGGAACCCATTGACCTGGGACCCAGGGGCGATCAGACCCGCTGGGGACCCAACAGAGCCCAGGGACTCAGATCACACCAGGCAGCCACCGGGATCAATCAGGCAGACTCTAAAAATCTTAAACCCCCTGCAGTACACCCGGGAGCCGTGAACACTCAGGCAGACCAAGGCACCACACACCACACCAAATGTGGCAGGGGGAGGGTAGGCGAAGATGTGTAGTAGCACAAGAAGTCCGAGGAGAGGGGAGGATTCCAAGACCCCAACTCACATATACAGCCATGCACAGACACAGTCACACAATCCCTCCCTCATGCTCACACATACACATGCAACCTAAGACTTACAAAAATGCATGCCGGACACCCACTCACGCTCCCCATACACACCCTATTCACTCTGGTCCCGGTACTGCTGCACATGGGGTACAACCATCCCTGGTTCCCAGAGTTTGCCCCTTTCTGCTGGGGTGATGATGAGCAGGCTCCCCCTGCCCAGTGCTGAGCAAAGCATCCCACCACCCCAGATCCCAACATGATGGCCAGTTCCCCCTCCTAGCCTCCAGCCCCGGGAAGCCAAGCGACAACAGAGGTGTGCTAAGACCCCTAGTCTCCCTCTGCCTGCTCCAATACGGTGTTAGTGCGTGTTGATGAGGTGTATTCGTGGCTGTGGTGAGCAGGCAGTGCAGGCATCGTCTGGTCTACGCCAGCTGATGCAACCACACCGCCCCACTTGCACCCACAGCCTTCTGTGTCTAAGTGCAGTTTAAAAATTGGAAGTGGGCACCACTCGGGATGAAGCTGAAAGATCCCCTTGCCAAATGCCGTTGAGTGTGTTCACTCCCAAGGCCCTGAGTGTGTGTTTGTGTGGAATGTCGTCGGTGGAAGTGTTTAAGGTGCAAATAAAATTGGGGGGCAGGCTGCCACAGGAATGCGGAAATGGGATCCATACCCACACCCCCGACTTACCCAGCCCCCAAGGTCCTATGTGCATGTTTGTGTGATGATGTGAGGGAGCAGGAGGAGAAAAATATGCAGGATGGGGAGGATTGGCTGGTTGGTCCAAGCCCTCCAGGGAGCCAGCTCCCCCACTGGCCCCAATAGACACCTCCATTGCCAAAAGGCCACCCAGGGCATAGAGATCCCAGCCCATCTTGCCAGGGGCCAAAGCAGCAGCATCGCAGAGCCCCACGGAGTCCAAGTGCACCAAGCCAGCCCCACCCCAGCAGAATATCTACGCCCATCCTTGCATTTGCACAACTTCCAGAATATTTAAGACATGAGACATCCAAGTAAGGTTGGGTCCTCCCCCTCCTGGACATCCCCCTCCCCCGTGATGGGACAGAGTTGTTATTATTCCAGAGGGGCCAAGGTCCACCTGAGGCCCTTGAGTCCTACACTGCCGCTTGCTCCTGCCTTCTTCCCGGCAGCTTACGAGTAAGGACCTCATCACCAAGTCCCCACCCAGATCCCCACACGGGGTCCGCTGCCCCCACACCCCGAACCCCCAGGCCCCCACCCAGACCTACTCGGGGCGTTGCAGCTGCCAGGCAGCAACCCATGGCCGCTGCCGAGACCCCCCAAGGGGCCCCACTCACAACTGCCAGTAGTCCACCCCCTGAGGACACCCAAGCGCCTCCAGAGGGGGGTAGCAGCCCCCCAGCCCCAGACATCCCCAATGAACCCAATTCCAGGGAGTGTCTGGATACTCCAAACTCAGACCCTCTGCCCCATCACCCACATCATCCCGCAGGACAATATCAATTATCCCCTATCATCACTATGTGATGGAACCGTTTTTGTGTTTTTAAATTAAGCATATTTGCCTGAGGCTCTTATTGTGAAGGATTTTTCAAAAGGAGGTTATTTCTCAGTTTGGTTAATTATAAAGATGGTTCTCTGACTGGTTTAAGTAAATCGCTCTGATGCTCTGTTCAGTTGTTCACTCCAGGGGTAAGGGGGGGCAGCTGTCCTCACGCTTAGACTACTGTAACTCTCTTTTCACGTGTCTGAGCAGAACCTCCCTGAACCGTCTACAGGTGGTTCAGAACGCCTGTGCTCGGCTTCTGACCAAGTCCTCCAAACACACCCACATCACCCCGCTTCTCCTCCAGCTTCACTGGCTGCCAGTCAACTTCAGGATTCATTTCAAGATCCTGGTTCTGGTCTATAGGGCCTTACATGGACAAGCACCATCTTACATTGGTGATCTTCTTAGTCCCTACACCCCCAGCAGGTCCCTGAGGTCCAGTGACCAAAACCTACTGGTTGTGCAGCGCACCAGGCTAAAGACCAAAGGTGACAGATCATCTGCTGCTGTGGCCCCCAGACTCTGGAACTCTCTCCCCCTGAGCCTGAGATCAGTGGACTCAGTGGTCTCCTTTAAAAAGCAGCTGAAGACTCACCTGTTCTGCAGGTCTTTGAGTGACCTTCTGTTGATTCTTCCTTCTCTTCAAGCTGCTGTTTACTAATTTTCTCTTTTCCTTTCCTCATATTTTTCTAATCACAATTTTTTACTTTTCCTAATTTTATATTTTTTAATGATTTAAATTTTTTCATGTTTTCTTCTTGTGAAGCGCCTCGTGATTTTCGTCCTGAGAGGCGTTGTATAAAAGATCGTTTCTTCTTCTTCTCCTGTTGAAGGGCCACGCCCCCCTGGCGTCCTAATACTGTCGTGTCTTTAAAATCTTCCTCTCTCTCTCCCAAAAGTAACGGCTGATATAATCCCGTACTTAAGTACCTTTCCTTTGTATTCCAACGTGTCTCTTGCATGTTTTTGTGTTTGTAACAGGACCAGGTGTCATTAAGTACAAGTGTTCAACAAAGACCAAACCAGCCTCATGGTACTGACATGTAACTAACATACTCACATTAACACACAACCAGAAACAAAACACGGGTTTCTCAAAGTGACAAATGTTTAGTGGGGTTACTAAACAATTTAAGTTACTCTAATTAGAACAAAATAAATCCCGGACGACGAGTCACCAATAAAACAAACAAATAAATCCCGGACGAGCCCCCAATATGTTACGACCCCAACCTGGTCTAGGAGCCAGGGAGGTCTAACACAGAAATGTGAGAAATAAAAGGAAATGATCTGACACCAAGTCACAATCAAAGAAAGTCCTTTTATTAACTAAAAGCGTCCCAACAGGAGAAAAACCTGGTTGGGGTCGTAACAAGGACCAGCAAACATTTCACTTAAAAGCTTCACAGCTGCATGTGGAATAAATCAAACACTAAATATGAGGTGGTTCTGATTAAACACTAGCCTGGCCCGCCAGACTTGTCCTCTGGTTAACTCTGCACAGAGAAAGGGTCTGGGAACTCTCCTGTTCAAATAACCCCACCGCCCCCTGAGAATTCTAACCAAGCCAATCAGCGCAGAGTAGCGTACGTCACACACTGTAACGCCGAGTTTGTCATAAACGTGGCGACTGAAGCGGAGTTCGCTGCGGCTTTTTCCTCTGTTCTAAATGACTTGGACGCGTCTTTAAAACCACAACAAGTAGCGTCTGGCGACGCTACTTTTGACTACAGCTAAAAAACTACAGCATCAGTCAGCATTTTCATCTGTTTTCTGATTGGTTATTTTTGAGCTGGCTAGTCCCGCCCCTCATGTGCCTCTCTGCCTGTGAGTTACCAGACTCTTTCTCTGTGCAGAATTAACCAGAGGACGAGTCTAGCAGGCCAGGCTAATTAAACAGCATTGTGGTTCAGGGACCTGAGACTTAGAGGGCAAAGATGTTGAGCTACATGCTGATCTTTGTCACTGAACTAGCTTCCCAGACTAAGAAATCCCCCCCCCCCCCCCCCCACTGACACCTGCAGCTCCGAGCTCTCCTCCTGCATCCCACCCCTGTGTTTTCATCCATGCCAGCGTTCGTCTCCTGCCTGCACACAGACAAGGTGTTTACACCTGTCAGAGTTTTGTTGCATGCTGCAGTATTTGAACTGAATGAGGGGTTGTCGGTGGTGTGTTATTTGGCTGCTTTCACAGTCTTTGCTGCTGTTCTCAACACTCACCTCATGCTGCTGGTGTCTGACTAATCATCAGAGGCCACTGTTTTCAGCTAAAGCTGATAAATTCACAAACTACCAGAATTTACTTCCTCAGCGTGACTTTTAGCCAACTTAGAATGTGTTTCTCTCAAGAAGTTGTGGATATTCTTACCTGTTGTGGGTAACTCAGTAGTTACATCTTCCAAGGCTAATGGAAAGGAGAGAACGTGTGGTGGAGAAACTAAACAAATAAAAATGGGGCCTTAACGGATCCCAGCTACGCATGAACCCCACCCGTAGGTCACAATAATGAGAAAATGCATTCTGTGCGTTAGTCTATAAAACACTAAGTTTATCAAATAATATACGGTTAGCATGAACAGGAAGTAAAGTTTATGAGATCTGAGAAATATGTGTTGGCTGGACTCTGATATCAGGAGGATACAGAAGGAACACTAGGAATTTGACTGAGGCTGAATTTGGTTCCTAAAGAACAGATTAGGTCAATAATGGAGCGGGGGTTGGGAGACCTACCATCTCCAACAGGTGGTCCATGGTCCCTGTCTAAAGGCCAAACTGCTACCAAACCACTGTTCCAGTTCAAAACCCGCTGAGGATTACAAACTCCAGACCGTAAGGGCTGCTGTATGTCGGGTTTCCAACATGTTCTACTCTGGAGAATAAAAGAACAAGTCTGAACCTGGAGAATGTTATTAGGAAAAGATTCCCTGTGATTCAACTGATCCAACAGCTTTTGCATGATCTCTGAGTTAACGCTGATCTTCAGCCCCATCAGGGTTTTACCGTCTTTGGTGTCTGAGGAACAGAGATGGGATAAAACTTCCAGCTCCAGCGTATCCATGCCGGCTTTCCTGGACGTTTCATCAAACATTAAAAGGACCACAACAAGTGTCCTTTAGGCCTTTAAACACGACGCTCGAACGGCCGCTGCTGCAGGCTCTGCTGGTGTTCACAGATGCAGAAACGCTGTTTTAAAACCTTGTGTGGAAAAGTGTGAATCATGCATTTATCATCACAGCTGGTGAGTGTGTGCATGTGTGTGTGTATGTGTGTGTGTGTGTGTGTGTGTGTGCGTGCGTGTTTGTGTGTGCGTGCGTTTGTGTGTGTGTGCATGCATTTGTGTGTGTGTGTGTGTGTGTGCGTACGTGTATGTGTGTGTGCGTGCGGTGCGTGTATGTGTATGTGTGTGTGTGTGCGTGCGTGCGTGTATGTGTGTGTGTGTGTGCGTGCATACGTGTATGTGTGTGTGCGTGCGTTTGTGTGTATGTGTGTGTGTGTGTGTGCGTACGTGTATGTGTGTGTGTGCGTGCGTGTATGTGTGTGTGTGTGTGCGTGTGTGTGTGTGTGTGTGCGTGCGTGCGTGTGTGTGTGTGTGTGTGTGCGTGCGTGTGTGCATGTGTGTGTGTGTGTGTGTGTGTGTGTGTGTGTGTCTGTCGGTGTGATAATTGCTTGTTAACCTTGAGGTTTGGTCTCCAGCTGGAATCTGCCTGTGCTGCATTACTGGAATAACCCTGCTCTGCCTTCATGGCTGGGACAGAGGTGTGGTTGTGTCTGCTACGGTCGGAACGTGATGGGAAGCATTGAAAATTATTCCCTCCATGATGCTGACGACCCATCTGAGCTCAAACAGGCGCAGAAAGTCAGGAACGAGCTTTTCAACTGTGTTTGCACTTCCAGTCTACTCACAAACATCACTTCTCAAAGCTGCACGTTTTGTACTTGTTACACTACAGAGACGTAATAACGCAGCGGCCCGTTTCACTCTTGCAACCTTACTTTTGTCTCCATACAAAAACATTACTGACTCTGCCCTCTGTCACGGTAATAAACCTTCATAGCAATGAGAACATCAGAAAAAGGTCAAAGCAGAAAAACCTAAATCTTTAGCAACGCTGAAAACGTTTTCTTTGTAGCAGCACGTGTGTGTGTGTGTGTGTGTGTGTGTGTGTGTGTGTAGGTGTGTGTGTGTGTGTGTGTGTGTGTGTGCTCCAGGATTTGATCAATACAACTAGAACTCTACTGTTCCTCTGCATAAGATGATGGTGACACAGGAGTTAAGCGTTTGCCCCACAATTAAAAGGTTGCAGGTTCGAGCCTCGCTCAGTTTGTCGCTGTCGTTGTGTCCTTGGGCAAGACACTTAACACAGCTTCCTGCTGGTGGTGGTCGGAGGGACCGGTGGCGCTAGCCTGGCCTGCAAGACTCGTCCTCTGTTTAATTCTGCACAGAGAGAGTCTGGTAAGCCACAGGCAGAGAGGCACTTGAGGGGCGGGACTAGGCAGCTCAAAAATAACCAATCAGAAAAAAGACGGAAATGCAGACTGTGCCGCGCGACGCTGTAGTTTTTTTAGCTGTAGTCAAAAATGGCGTCTGGCGACGGCGCAAACATCTTTCTTTAGAAGAAATGCTTTTAGCGCCATACTTGTTGTGGTTTTAAAGACATTCAAGACATTTAGAGCAGAGGAAAGAGCCGCAGCCAACTCCGCTTCAGTCGCCATGTTCTACAAACTCGACATAATGGCGTGTGACGTACGCCACTCAGCGCTGACCGGCTCAGGTAGGATTCTCAGGGGGTGGGGCTATTTGAGACTCCTCAGAGGAGGAGTCTGGCAGGCCAGGCTAGGTGGCGCCGGTGATCGGCAGCCTCGCCTCTGCCAGTGCGCCCCAGGGAAGCTGTGGCTACATTGTATCTCATCCCCACCAGCGTGCGAATGTGTGTGTGAATGCATGAATGACGGATTCTGTTGTAAAGCACCTTGGGGAGTTCTAGTACTCTAGAAGGCGCTATGTCAAACACAGACCATTTACCATTGTATGAAAATTGGTTCAGATTAGGGATGTGTGGTGGTGAAATGCTGGCGATACGATACAAATCACAATACAGGGGAGAGGATACGATATAATGGGATACATTCAGCCAGACAATGTTAGAAATTAGCAATAGACTGAATTTATTGTAGGGAAATTCAGTAAACAGTCCAAACCGACACGTAACATGTTTAACGTGAGGTATCTGGACCATAATGGGCTCGACACTCGGGAGGCGACGTCGCCTCTCCTCCATTCATTTTCAATGAGACACGCGCGACAAAGCGATAATCGCGGGTCTCCCTCCTACCAAGCGAAACGCGAAAAACGTGCGTGTGAAATTTTGCACTCGTGCACGTGCCGTGCACGGACGACCCAGCGACGCGATCCCAGAAAGTTGAAACATTTTCAACTTTTCATCGCTGTCGCTCGGACGACGACCAATCAACGGAGGTTTCATTCACTGACCAATGAGCGGACAGGATGCTCCGCACATCTCCGAGCAAACATGGAGGAGAAGTTGATTATTATTATGTTTTATAGTAAAATCAGAAGTAAGATTTCACATAACTCCAGCAGCACCTTGTGAAACATCATATCTACCGCTTTATTATCTCTGAACCGCTTAAATAACCTTAATTCCCTCCAACCTGACACAGCCAAACAAAACAACGGAAGTTTCGATTTCGCCATGGAACAGAACGCGTAGGCGGCTTTGCCGCTGGCTGCTGCCGCGGATCGCCTCCCGTGTGACAGGTAATAAAAGCGACAGCGACAAATTTCGCTGATCGCGGTCGTTTGTCGCCTCCCGTGTGTCGAGCCCGCAACAGAGGGATTTACATGTCAATGGTGGAAACAAAACCCATTGCACTCTGCTGCCAACTAGTGGTCAGCGTTTGAATTGCACCAAAACAAAAGAAAAGAAATAAATGTTTGCATTGAAATTCTTCCTGAAATTTGATACACGGCTTTTGAAAAACAATAGGAAAATATTCACAATATATCGCCATATCGATATTTTCTAACATCCCTAATTCAGATATTCAGCTTCTAAAAATATTGTTTCTGTTTTGAGTCAAAAAAGTAAACGCCTCAAAATACTGAAGAAATCTTAAAATATCCACGGTGCCCTCTCTCTCTCTGGTTTTACAGATATATAATTTAATTTCTACAAAGATGGAAATCTGCTGAAGGTCCTCCTGTTCAGTTATGGAAATCTGCTTCTTTGGTTGCATTTTTATGGACTTCTGTGATGGAAGGTACCGGAGCTGCCATAACACTCACTGATTGTTTCCTGATATGGCGAAACTCACACACGGCCCCTCTCACGTGAGGGGGGGCAGGAGGTGTCAACAGCAACCGGCCGTTCCTGTAGTAACAGACGGTGTTGCAACAGCAGAGTTTCTGCCTGACCCGCGGGTTAAATCCAGCTGTAGTTCATGAACATCTAAGCCTTTTAGGTCGTGTTTTGGCATCGCGATCAGAACTAGCCGATCTTACCACAGATCTGGAGAAGACAGACGCACAGAGAGAGTCTGTTCAGCAGGGATGTCATCCTCCTCAGCAGGTCCAGCTAGTTCTGCACAATCTGGGCTGATTCAGTGCTGCAGTGAAGCTCATCCGTCCCCGTGAGGTGATCCTAAACAGCAGGCGGGCCCGGTTCTCAGCTCCTCTCCAGCCTGTATGTGTTTCTGAAGCTCTGTCCTGATGTGCAGCTAGGCTGCTGGTGTAGTGAGGGATTCACCTGTTTGCTCTGCACCTTAACACTCCCTCTCTCACGCGTTTCAGCTGAAACTCACCTTTCCAGTTTGGCTGAGGCAACATGACAGTTATTTTCTCGTTGTTACATGCTCGGCTCACAGCAGCAGCAGGTGAATGAGCATGCCCAAAGAACCAGTTTCAGCTTAGCCCAAATGACACCAGGAGAACCCCCCCCCCTACACACACACACACACACACCTCCAGGGAAACTACGACTCCTTTCACTTTAAGGAGAGAAGCAAACTGTTTACAAAATATATCCTACTCTAAGGTACATGAAATACAAGTCAACCATCACATTTAAACATCATGTCGTTTATCAGATCATCACTCACCACCTCAAAGCATCTCAGCGCATCAGGATGGAACGGTCCTCTCCACCTGGCTTTAAAAGGAACTCCAGCTATGAGGACGTGTGTGCCCTAATAAGCTAAAAGTTTTCTGTTGTACCAAACTAAGTTGTTAGAAACACACAAAACATTGCTGTTTATTTGTAAATGTATAATATTTAGAACATTTTTGGACATACGTAGGACGCCATGTTTTCCACACGCAATGCACTCTGGGGGCGATGACGTACACTGGTTGCATGGAAGAATAGCCATTGACGTAGTGTTTGTTTACGCGCTCGTCGTATTAATAATGAAGTAAAATGCCACATTGTGCTGCTTTTGGATGTAATTTCCAGTCAGAGGGCAACAAGGGGAGCGATGTGAGTTTACACAGCTTTCCCACTGGCAAGTAGAGGAGAAAGCTATGGGATTAGATTTGTGCCAATAGGATCAAGAAAAACACTTTGGAGATCAAACAAATTTTAAGACATTGTAACGGTTTAATTTACATGTTATTTAATGAGCCATAAGACATAAGATTCCATAGGAAATATGAAAACACCCTTATGGATCTGTGGGTACTGTTTAACCAGAAGATTGGAACTTTTTATTGCAGGGATTAGATAACAGCTTCGTATTCACTCAGAGACAACAGAAGAGAGTCGAGTTTAAAAGTTTAAAGATTTATTACTAAACAAATTAAACTAGACTAACTTTAACACTAAATGTACGGTGTAACTAAGGTGGATGAGACTGAAGATGGTGTAATGTGGAATGTTGTTCAGAACCAGCAAATCCGGAGAAACGATTAGTTCTGATGGGAAATGAAGGTGATGTCTTCACGCTAAGCTTTGGTTAGGAGATTCATAAACACATTCGACGTCATTTGTCGGTCTGCGTACCCTTAGTGGAAGTCCCCGTCTAGATCAGGAGGTGTAAAGGTCCAGCTTGACATTTGTGGAGCCGGAGCCTGTAGAAACAGCCGCGGCAGCCGACCACCAGTCTTGAGATACTTCCGGGTCACGACAGTTTATCGGCATCTAACAAGACCCAAACCTGGGTCGTGATGGTTCAGCTTTTATTCTGAAAGGAACCGTTGCAGCAGGTGGAACAGCAACAGATTTTATCCAGCTTGTCGTTGGTTCTTTCGGCTGAAGAGGAAAGTTACGGATTGGCCACTCCGACAACTTCTCTAGAACGCTTTGAACTGGCGTTAAAGATGACGTGGGCATAGTTTTATACTTCGGATGTTTTGGTTTATGGTCGAATGAAAAGATGACACATTTACCAAGCACCACCAAAACCACGCCTCTGTCAGATCTGGCAGATTCTGATTGGATCAGTAAAAGCAATGTGTCATGTCTTAACGCTACGTGAGATCAGTCCTAGTGGAAACATTTAAAGTCATATTACTTATTATATTCTATAGGATTATAATAAAGTAATTAATATTTTGATTTCACAGATTGGTCACATCTTATTATTGACTAACAATTTGTTTGATTAGCTTTATTAAAATAGAGTTATTTGATTTATTAAAAGGAGAGAGTCCTTTCTTCATTCTTCTGTTGGGCTGGAAAGAAGCAGTTTATAACAAATGCATGAGACTTTGAGGCCATATCTCATGCAGACTAGTTCTGTGTCAGAGGAGAGGGGGAAATTACTTTTGGTGGAAAACACTCATTTCATTTCGATACAACATTGAGAGAAAAAAATCGTTTCAAAAGAAAAACTTAAGATCTGAATCAGATTTTTAAAAAGATCAAGAAAAACACTTTGACGGTCAAACAAAAATTAAGAAATTGACAGAACAAAAATTTTGACTAAAGGAAAAAAAACGTTTCTAAAGTAAAACTTGCTATCTGAATCAACTTGTTAAAATGAGTAACACAGTATGTTTCCTTTTTATGTTTGCCTCTATGTGTTTTTGTTATCAATTTCCTTAGTTTCATTCCCCCTGCACACATCTTTGCTGTTACTACCAGATTTGCACTTACACTTTCTGGCTTTCTCCTTTGCAATCCCTAAGTTTTTGGGTGCAATTCTGACACAACCCTTTCGGGTAGGTGGGACTTCTGAGAAGTCCTCTCCCATAGGACAGTGGTTTCTCTTGAGTGACAGTTCAGTGACCCGGAAGTGATGTAGCCTCCAAGACTTTTTTTCCCCACCTCGGTCAACAACATGAATTTTGAGCTCCAAACACGTTATTTCTGCTGTCTGTGGTGTCTACTGAGCATCTAAAGTGAGTATTGATAATATATTTTATCTTTTCTTAGTTAATCTGTAAGTTAAGCCACTTTTTAAGTTGGTTTTAACCAGACGCTAGCTCACTAGCTAGCTGCTAAGCTAGCCATTGTGCTAGCCTCAGGAAAATGGTCTATTGCTCCGGAGAGATGTATTAAAAACTCATCTTAACAGATTCATTACTGGTTTCATGGAATTAATTATTACAGTTTATGTTAATATGTTTGCTAATTTTTCAGGAATCTGTGGAACATCAGAGACTTTGCAGCTACTGGAGCTAACCTGTGTACAGCTAACTTGCTACAGAGGAAACAGCAGAAAGCTGAGCTAACGGGCAGTTTTGCAGGTAAATACTCTTTTAGTGGAACTGCAGGATTTTTATGGTATGACCCAGACAGAATCTACATGAGTTATTGTGGGAAGACATTTAAACTACATCAGGGTTTCCCACCGCCACGCCTACAAGATCCCAAGTTTTGTTTTTGTTGCGCTGTTTCCCGAAGAAGCAGCGGGAACTACTATGTTGTCGCTTGTGATCACAGCCGGCAGGCAGCAAGGAGGAGTAGGCAGGGCAAGGTGAAGTTACAGCACAAGTTACTGAGTTTAAAATTAGAAAGGTAGCAGTGGATATAATGCTTTTTGGTTTACATGTTTTAAGATAAACGAGTGTTGACGATCTTGCCAGGTTTCCTCCCCCCACCAGGCTAAGCATCACTTATTCATGTAAAATTTAATTTTTTTTCATGTCTGACTTTAACCGCATCTAATACTGTATTACGGCGTGAGCGCAACAGCGACAACTTAAGATCGATGTGCGAGCAGCCTGAGAGGCCGGGTGTTTTCATCTGAACCCTTAAAACCTCCAGCAGGCTACGCTGCACTATTGACGTGTTAGCGCGCGGCGCTAACAACTTAGCGACGTGACATGTCTCGGAGAAAGCGTAAAAACACGTTGGACGCTTCTTCTGAAGCGGGAAAATAACACTTCTTAAGCAGAGCACAACGTCGCCTCGGCTCGTTCACGGCCGAGCCAGACTGAGCTCGATAGCATTGACCCAGCACAGCCACTGGGTCGTTGGAGCTGCCCCGTGACTGCCTGATGGAAAACCAGTGGGTTTCATCAGACTCGTAAAGTTTCTTGTTTTTGCTGGGGACCCCCTGTATTTTACCGCTCCCTCCTGCAGTCTTCCCCTATTAACATTTAAAATGATTCTGTAAATTTGTGTATCAATAGAAACAATCTCTGCCTCTGCCAGCTGCAGTAAATGTAGACTCCAAATAATAAATAAGAGGTGCATTCATCTGTGTATCTCCTTTGATCCGCATTAGTGATATTCTCCTCACCAGAACAATGAAGCAAAGAAAGATTCTTGAGTTTGTTAGTAATTTTATTTATTAGGTGCATCTAACCTGTTCTTTTTTTCTCTGAAATGAGATCAAATCAGTGCTTCTATGGGTTGTCTCTACACTGCACTAGAAAATTTTACTTTATTTAGAGACGTGTCATAATTTTCTCCCCAAGCCCCTGTTGACATGTTTGTATTAATTTAAGTTAAAGTAACGAAATGTTGGACCAGAAACGTAAAACCAGGACAGCCGATGATGTTTTTATAAACACCTCAGAGGGGATAAAGAAACAAACTCTCTGGTTGCATCTGTGATGGTGAGACGATATGTTTTATTGTTTGAATAAATGTGAAACATTAATACGCTTTAGAAATGAAATCAGATGCCGTCGCTGCCACTTTGTGGTTTAAGATAAAACTACACATTAAATCTAAACTCTAGCCCACTCTCCAACATGTGACAAAATCATCTAACTTTAACAATCATTAAAACACAAAACTAATCAAGAACTTATAGATGCCTCTTAGATGTCCAACCCTACTAAAGTGGTGTTTAGATGGGCAGAAAAGGAACTTTATCCATCATTCTGCTGACATTAGTTATGAAACTCTTGCTTCAACATGAATATGTTATAAATATTTAAAACTCAGCTTCACATCTTAATCAGTCTTTGTTTTTGGATCAAATTTAGCCTCAAAAACTCCATTTTCCCCGATTGTCTAACATCTTTGATCCAGCAAGATGCATCAACACGAGCTGGAGGAGGTGGTTCCTGCATTCAGGGGACAAAATGCAGACTGTGACTCTGTGGACTACAGTGTGTTAAAGTCACAGAGTTAAGAAGACGAAACTGATGGAGATAATCTAGGAGAGGGGGTAAAAGTCACTCTCCAGCATCACAGTCGACCCGGTTCAGGCGACTCAGACCAGCACCACATTCATTTTATTCTTAAAGAGGGACTGCACGCCATCAGAAAACGTAACTCCACCCCAAGTCAAGATGTGAAAAATGCAATGAAAGTGGGCGTTGTCAGGAGGCACAGAGTGGCATGGCCAAGTGTGGGGAATTTCCATTCTGGGAGGGAGGGGGAGTGGGAGGAGACTGTACCGATGGCTTGAAATTGTGCCAGTCCCAGCCAATCACAAATTTAAAATGCAGTAGCCACTGTTTAACCCACAGGGGGCAGCACTAAGACGTTTCTAGACCTAGATTATAGATCTAATCAATCAATTAATCAATCAATAGATCTAATTAATCAATTTCCCTCTGGGATTAATAAAGTATTTTTGAATTGAATTGAATTAATCAAGTTTACACAAACACGTCAAAAAATGCACAGAACAGACAGCTTGTATTTGTAAAGATCCAATTATACAGTTAATTAGCAAATAAAAAATTGGGAGGGGGGAGTGTTAGTTACTCTTTAAAGACAAAACAGAGTAGTGGTAAGAGGCTGAACATTTCCTTAAATATTTAGATCATCTCGATGCTGCAGCAAGAAAATGTTCATGAAATCGTATCAAAGGGTTTTTAGAACCGTTTTTTCCTACAGAGCTAAACATCTGTGTACCTGCAGCAGAAGAGTTGTCAAAGGAAACCTTCAAAATGTGCAACAGAGCAAGAACAGTATCTCAGATGTGAGCGTGTGTGTGTGTGTGTGTGTGTGTGTGTGTGTGTGTGTGTGTGTGTGTGTGTGAGTGTGAGTGTGTGTGTGTGTGAGTGAGTGTGTGTGTGTGTGTGTGCGCGCACCTGCTTCTTTTTTATATCTTACATCTAAACTCTTGGTAGCTTCCAGAAAGATGTGTGAGGAAATAAACAAAGGTGCACAAAAGCAAATATTTTTATATTAAAATACATACAAAGGATTATTAAAAATAATACATGGGTTTGAAGAATCGTGGACTTGATTGGATCACTTTTTCATGCCGATGGTCTCGTATGTGTCCTGGGCATGCGGGGTCAGACCCTGAGAGGAGAAGGACACGTTCAGTCTGCTCTAGCTTATATCCGCTTCATTTGCTTAATTTAAAGGTGCATTATGGAGAGATGAAGTAAAAATGACTTCATGTGATAAAATTTGGTTTCGGAATCCACTTTAAACAACTCTGGAGCTTTTTGTTGGCCGTCATCAAATTACAGCGGTCGGCGCTGCAGCATTAGCTCACAGGAGAACCTAACCCCCACTCGCTGATGGTAAACAGTAGTTACGACCCTCCTGCCTTTGTTTTGAAAGGAGAAAACCTGACAACCCAGCAGCCAGATGGATATGAAATTTGTTTCAGTATAACCTTCCTTCCATGTCCCAAAAACTAGTTTTCTTGTCCGGGGATTGGACCGCCAAGGCTCCCGCCTTGGTCTGCCACCCGATTCGCATTGCACCGGACCCTCATGTTCCTCCTGCGGGTGGTGGGTCCACAGTTGGACGAGCCCATGTATCCGGTTCGGGCTGGGCCCGGCCGGGCCCCATGGGCGAAAGCCCGGCCACCAGGCGCTCGCTCACGGGCCCCAACCCCAGGCCTGGCTCCAGGGTGGGACCCCGGTAACCCTCCGGGCCGGGTACTCCGACTCTTCGTTTTAACCGCCATGAAAGATCCTTCGAACCGTTCTTTGTCTCACCCTTCACCTAAGACCAATTTGTCATGGGAGACCCTACCAGGGGCACTAAGTGCCCCAGACAACATAGCTCCTAGGATCATTAGGGCACTCAAACTCCTCCACCACGATAAGGTGACGGTTCAAGGAGGAACTGTGGACCAGCTCTATACCCTTGCAAGGGTGATGGAGGGGGCATGGGAGTTTGCCCAACCAATCCACATGTGCTTTGTGGATTTGGAGAAGGCCTATGACCGTGTCCCCAGGGGCACCCTGTGGGGGACGCTCCAGGAGTATGGGGTGGGTGGCTTTCTGTTAAGGGCCATTCAGTCCCTTTACCAGAGGAGCGTGAGTTTGGTCCGCATAGCCGGTAGTAAGTCGGACCTGTTCCCAGTGAGGGTTGGACTCCGCCAGGGCTGCCCTTTGTCACCGGTTCTGTTCATCACTTTTATGGACAGAATTTCTAGACGCAGCCGTGGTGTGGAGTGTGTCGAGTTTGGTGGCAGGAGAATCTCGTCTCTGCTTTTTGCGGATGATGTGGTCCTCCTAGCTTCATCCAGCTCTGACCTTCAGCTCTTGCTGGGTAGGTTCGTGGCCGAATGTGAAGCGGCTGGGATGAGGATCAGCACCTCCAAATCTGAGACCATGGTTCTCGACCGGAAAAGGGTGGCTTGCCACCTCCGGGTCGGGGGAGAGGTCCTACCTCAAGTGGAGGAGTTTAAGTATCTCGGGGTCTTGTTCACGAGTGAGGGTAGGAGGGATCGGGAGATCGACAGGCGGATTGGTTCGGCGTCTGCAGTGATGCGGACGCTGAGCCGATCTGTCGTGGGGAAGAGGGAGCTGAGCCAGAAAGCTAGGCTCTCGATTTACCGGTCGATCTACGTCCCAATCCTCACCTATGGTCATGAGCTTTGGGTAATGACCGAAAGAACGAGATCGCGGATACAAGCGGCCGAAATGAGTTTCCTCCGTAGGGTGGCCGGGCTCAGCCTTAGAGATAGGGTGAGGAGCTCGGACATTCGGGAGGGACTCGGAGTAGAACCGCTGCTCCTCCGGATCGAAAGGAGCCAGTTGAGGTGGTTTGGGCATCTGGTCAGGATGCCTCCTGGACGCCTCCCCGGGGAGGTGTTTCGGGCATGTCCTGCCGGCAGGAGGCCCCCGGGTCGACCCAGGACACGTTGGAGAGGTTACATCTCCAATCTGGTCCGGGAACGCCTTGGGGTCCTGCCGGAGGAGCTGGTGGACAAGGCCGGGGAGAGGACGGCCTGGAGCTCCCTAGTTGGGATGCTGCCCCCGCGACCCGGACCCGGATAAGCGGAGGAAGACGATAACCTTCCTTCCAAAGTGACTGAAACATTAGACTCTTGTGGAATTTTCTCACTGTAGGATTCTCACTATATTTTTACATACTGCACCTTTAATATGGAAACTCACCGTATAGATGCCATCTTCAACATTCTGACCGGAAGAAACAAAAATAGATCAGATACAATAAGAAAATGCACTTTTTTTTTACACAAATTATTAAAAAGTACTTAACCTGCTTAAGGAGAAAACTTTTGCTGGAAAGAAACTCTAAAACCATCTCTCATTGTTGCTTTAACCGTTTCCAGGTAGCGTTTATCTGTGGTTGTTATTCAGAAACACTAACAAAAGCCAACACGTCGATTATCCGTGATCTGTCAGCAGATGTCGGGTCTAGGCGTTTTAGCTGAGGCAGCCATCTTGAATCAGATAGATTTCAAAAGTTCATCAGTTGTTGAGGAAAATCTCACTAAGTTGAAACAAGCTGGAGAAAGGTCAGAAGAGCCGTTAAAGACCAAGTTAACACGTTCGCAGGGCTGCCAACTTTTGAACATTTCAAAGAGTGAGACGGGGTCGCGGGGTTGGGAGCGGACAATTCGCCGACCGTTTAGAGCCGGGGGGGGGGGGAATATTGAGGCTTTTTGTGCTCTACATTTTATTTATTTATTCATTTCTACTCTGTACGGAAGAGGATTAGAGCCACTGACGAGAAAAAAAGAAAAGACAGAGAATTCTTACATTTTTCTCTAAATTATGGTTTTTTTTCCCCCTCGGAATTCTGACTTTTAATCTCGGAATTCTGACAGGGAATTCTGGGAAAAAAGTCAGAATTCTTTTTCTTTTCTTTTTTTTTTCTTTTTCCCACCCATCTAGTGTGTGTGTGTGTGTGGGGGGGGGGGGGGGTGGTCATGTCATTCATAATATTGCCAGTTATTATTTCCTGCCGAGAAAAACAATCTATCATGTTAAGCTAACTTTATTGATGTAGTTGCATCCACTAAACAGGATTATGTTCATGTGTTCATCAGCATGAAGTTATCAAAGCAAACATGGCTGGAATCAGTTTTACTGTAATCTGTGTCTCTAAAGCTTGGTTTATGCTCGACGCATTCACTTTCCGCTTGGTGATGCGGCTCGCGGATGGAACGAGCTTCACGGCTCGCAGCGTTTATGGTTCGTGCGGCTTGTCTCTGCAGTGAGCCAATATTCTCCCAAACTGTAGGGGGCAGCATGGAGCTCTACGGCATGCATCCAACACTACACCATAGAAGAAGTAGAAATTACTGTTTACAACATGGTATTCCAGCATTTTTAACAGCGTCCTCGTCTTTTCCGACAGTGCGAGCTATTTCTCTCCAAGAATTATTAACAACATGTTGATCACGGTGATCTCTGAGAGCTGAATCATACAAATGTCTGTATTTGCCAACCTCTGCCATACTAGTTCTTGCCAGTCCGCCATGTTTTTGCGCATCCGACCGTCCGCGTGGTTAGAAAATTTCCTAGGTGCACGGTGCGGAAAGTTTGGGCCGTGCGGAGGCGCGGTGGAGGGGCGTGGTTGTAAAAATGGCGCAATTTTGCCGCTCAAGCATAAACCAAGCTAAAGTGTGTGTAATGCTGTATTGAGTGGATGTCCCCACTGTGGGAAAGAAAATGTACTCTATTATATTAACTCATATCAGCCAGTAGGAAAAAAAAAACGTTTGAGGAATTTTGGCCATTCCAGGCTTCCGTACCTGGTTGTGGAGGAGGGGTCCGTCTCACAAACAGGAAACACACATTGGTGAAGCGGTGAATTAAAACATTAGGATTCCTAATGTTTTAATTCACCGCGTCACCAACTGATGTAGGAGAGGGAACGTGTGAGTGACGCCGCGGTAGGAAGCCCAGCTTGCTGTGAGCGAGCGATCTGTGGCTGACGAGTGAAAACAAAAGAAAAACATTCGGGACTGATGCGACGCGGCTGCATTTCTAAATAAAACGGTTAGCTTCTACTAGCTATTTTATGTCAGTGGCTAATACAGGAGATAGGGCTAAAAGACCATTCTCATATTTAGCCTGCATGTAAAACTCAGAGAGACATGTGATATTTAACAAAGGAGAAGTAAGACGGTTCTCTTCTCATCTGATGAGCTCTCTCGTCTCACTCAGCATTTGTTTTAGTCATTTTGGTGTTTCAGTCAAGAGGACCGGAGCATTGCAGAGCAAATATGTCATATTAGTCTAACTAACCACAGGAAATTAACACGCATGCATGCACAAACACACACACACACGCCTCATTTCCTTCTTCACACACATTTTTACATCCAGACCTCAGCGTTGGTCCACTTAGGTTTGCCTCTGAGAAGTTCTGCCTCCTTTTTATTGACTGAAACTTCACTTTGAGCAGCCGTGTCACGTGTATTTAAAAAACAAAAGGTAATTGTAGACATTAGTTCAGTGGGTTTACCTCCTTCGGTTTCCCCTTCACGCCACTGGCCTCTCTTGCATTGTAGATCTGCAGAAGAGGACACAAAAAGGAGATGATGTTACTTTTTTACGTACAATTTAGTGGTGTGGTGTACTGCTGTATGCACACTAGTTTAGTATTAAACCATGCTGCGCATCAGTGTATCTCTGCTAATCAGTAGTATTGGTTTAGAAGGAATGGAGTAAAACCACAAAGAACATGAGTGTAGAGACGCTCAGACCTGATAGCAGAAATGGGAAGAACTGATGAGACACGAGTCAATCTTGTGGTCAGATAACACAAAATTATCAGCAGGATGTTTTATGTCAGCTCCTCTTATTGTGCAAGGAAGTAAAAACGCCAAGTTGAGTCTAACATCCCCCACATTGAAGTTAGTTTTATGCTCTCTATTTAATTAAATGTGTGTTTCCCTTTAAAAGAGACAGTAATGCAGCAGTGTCTGGCTGGTTAGGGTTAGGGTTTATTAAGGTTCCTGCTGAAAACACAATAGGAACGTCTGCATGAAGGTTATTAAGATCCTGTTAAAGCTGCAACACACACTGGTCTGGCCGAGCTCAGCATTGCCATGTAGACAGATGGAAACTATATTTCGCTTAAACGATTACATAAAATGTTATTTGTTTCTAATTTTTACCCAGAAACAAACTCCAAATTATGACTGTTACTTTCTACACTATCTGAGGAAAGGCTTGAAGCATTAAATGATGTTTTGAGTCCTTTTGGAGACACCCCTTAACTACACTTAGATTTAGTCCAATTCATCTGCACTCCACTGAACTCACGCCTTTAGTTCTGTAAAGAGAAACGTTGCAACTTTTAAATTGTTCCAATCAGACGTTGTAAACATTTTACAAAAAGAAGCTCTAAATAATTTTTTATTCAAAAAATTCTAGTCCTTGCTGTTTAAGATTGAGAGGACAGGCTGCAAACCACCACTCTCAACAAAACTAAACTCTAATGTGCGTTCAAAACATCCCGGACAAGCCCCCAGTTAATGTTACCACCTGGCTCATTAGGCTTACAAAGCAAACACTTGTTACAGTGATCCTTTTGTTTTAGGACCTGAAAGTGGATCACAGAATATTGATCAATCAGCATGAACTGTTGGGTGGGCATTACAGGCTCCATCATAAAACGGGTGTGGTCCTATCTCACAGTAACTTCTGTGTCAGGATGGGTGACTATCATCCAACAGGGCCGACCTCCCCTGGGGAGTGCCACAAAGGTTGATTTTGGCCCCCCAGCTCTTTGCCCTCTATCTGCTGCTGTTAGGACTGTTTCGTAAACATCACGTCAAGTTCCACCTGTGTGCCGAATGCCATATTTAAATTCTGGTGAGGCGCTGTACTTTCGGCTCCATCCGCTGCTGAACGGACACATTAAAATCCTGATGGCTCACAATTGTGTTTTTAAACTGAGCAATAGACTTGGGCGAGAAACGAGTTCGACCTGTCCCCACTAGCCACATTTGAGAAGCAGCGGTGACTATCAGGGAGTGAAACTGGAGGCAGATCTTAAGTGAGACAGCCAGGGGAGTAGAACCGTTAGATCGGGTTTCTTCCATCTGTGCTTAGCTAAAATCAAGGTGTTTCTTTTTCATGCACACCTGGAACTTGTGATCCAGGTTGGACTACTGCATCTCACTATATGCAGGTATCAGTCAGGCTGCTACAGTACTTCAGTTAGTTCAAAATGGACAGTGTTGATGGAAACCCGGAAGAGCAAGAACATTTTAATAACTTACAGAATTAGTTCTAAAATCCTCTTGCTTGTGCTTAGAGCCCTGAATAGTGTTACTCCACTGTGTTCAGCCCATCTGATGCACCAGTAAGTTCCATCTGTATTGTCAGCAGAACATGGTCTGTTGGCAGTCCCCAGACACCGATTCAAATCACAAGGGGGACTTGCCTTTTTAGTCCTATGGCATTAACGCTGTGGAATGACTTCCTATCAAATGTCAGACAAGCGCCTTCGCACCTCGCTTTCAAGAGTCAATCGGTGACTCATTTTTACTTCCTAGCTTTCATAAATACAGCACGATGACTGCCAGACTACATTTTCGCTAAATAAATGCATGTTTTAATCCATTCAGTTGCACTGAGTCTGACTTTTATCTCATGGTACTGTGTGGTTTTATAGTTGTCTTTTAGGGATGTAAGAAAATGTCGATTATGGCAATATATCGTGATATTTTCCCCAGCGATAATATATCGATATTCAAAAGCTGTGTATTGAAAATATCGATATCGCAATATATCGTGATTTTTTTTCTTGCAAAAATGTATCGATATTCAAAAGTCGTGTATCTAATTTTTGGAAGAATTTACATGGAAACATTTGTGTATTTTCTTGTTGTGCAATTCAAATGCCGACCACTAGTTGGCAGAAGTGTGTAATGGGTTTTGTTTCTGCCATTGAAATGTAACTCCCTCTGTTATGGTTAAACATGTTAAGTATCAGTTTGGACTGTTTATTGAATTTTCCTATAATAAATTTAGTCTAAAAAAATCGCCAATATCGTCTGACTGAATGTATCGCAATATATCGTGATATATTGTATCGTCTCCCCTGTATCGTAATATGTATTGTATCGCCAGAATTTCATCAATACGCATCCCTATTGTCTTATGTGTTGTGTTTTGTTCGAGTGTTGGCTGTGTGAAAGCACTACTGTATTTGAATTAAGTTTGTTGCTCTTCTAGTTCCCTTATAAAAGCAGCTACTGGTGTTAAAACGCTTCGACGGCGCAGCTGGTGGTCTGGTTTAAGCCTCAACATGCAGACTCTCAGAACACTTTCACTCCAGGCTGGTCCAGAGGCTTGGTTGGGTTGGGCGGATAACAACAAAAAATTCACTCCTTTGTTTTTAATACGTTCACACTTCACGTTAGAAGTGGACCAAACCCCCTGGTCAGGGTCTCACAGCTGCAGTGGCTTTGTTCATGTGGGAAGTCAGATATTAATACCTGCTGGCATTTACACACGGATAGCTAAATGCATCCTTTAGACAAAGGGTTTTGATGTGTATGCTGCTCTGATTCATGTTGTAGAGCTAAACTACAAACAAACAAAAAACAATGGACGGTGAAGAATCGTTTTCCTGATTGTGTGATGTGGACGCAGACCTTGACTCTGCAGTAGAGCGCAGTCAGGATGATGCCATACAGAAACAGGATGCCGTCCAGCACGTAGCAGATCTCAGGCTCGCTGAGAGCAGCTGGGAAAAAAAGAAGAATCAGGGGGAAATCTACAACCATGAGCACATCAACCAAACTTTACACAAGAACTTATCCAAGCAACGATGACTAGTTGTGTAGAAGACTGCCTTATTAGGCAACGGTGCTGTCTGTCGGCGCGCGCCGGTGAATGAAGCGGAGGTAAGGATCCACACGCGGGTGAGGGAAGCAGGCAAGCAGACACCCAGGAACGATTAAGGTTTTTATGGGGAACACGCCAACACAGAAACAATGATCCAACACGAGACAAAGAACTGAAGGGGTTTAAATACAAGAGGGTTGGGAACTTGGGTGATTGGAAAACGAGAGGCAGGTGGGAGCAATTAACAGAGACACATGACTGAACCATAAGGGGAGACAGGACAGGGTGCGACACCGTCACCCCTTCAGACTGTGAAGTAGTCAGCTATTAAAGACAACAGCCAATGGGTAGAATCAAAGATAAACAACTCAAGCCCTACAAGAACACAATATTATTCAATAGTAATTCAAGCCTGTTGCTGTCAGGCAGTTGCATTCGGATTTAGGCATAAAGCTTACTTAAATCAACACTTACTTACTTATGTTTGTAATTTGTCTGTTCAGAATGGTATATTTCCAGAAAAAATGAAAATCGCTAAAGTAATTCCGAAAAAACGGTGAGGGACATAGCTTTGATAATTTGATAATTACAGACCAATCCCCAGTTTTCTAAAGTGCTTGAAAAATGGTTCACTCAGAAACTAGACAACTTTATTGAAAACAACAAACTGCTGAGTGACAGTCAGTATGGATTTTGATCAAATAAATCTACATCCTTGGCATTACTAGAATTAAATGAAGAAATTACAGCAGCAATAGAAAGGAAGCAATACACAGCAGGTCTGTTTATTGATTTAAGAAAAACATTTGATACCATAGACCGTGGTTTGTTACTTTCTAAGTTAAAGAATTACGGGATACGAGAGAAAGCTCATGATTGGTTAAGTAGTTAACTAAAAGAAATCAGTTTGTACAGTTAGAAGATGAAATTTCAGATTCTCAAATTATTACATTTGGAGTCCCACAGGGTTATGTGTTGGGACCTCGGCTCTTTAATTTGTATATTAATGATATTTGATGTGTCCTAAATATTACAGTTTATTTTGTTTGCTGATGATACAAATATATTTTGGAAAATATGGATCGTGAGATGACTAAACTGAAGAAGTGGTTTATGGACAATGAATTATTTATAAATTGGAATAAAATGAAATTCATGATTTTTGGTAACAGGAAGACAGATGATTCTGTTAATTGTCCATAGATGGTACTTCAGTTGAAAGAGTTAATGAAGTAAGATTTTTAGGGGTCATCTTGGATCATAAACTTAATTGGAATCCCCATTTAAAATATATAAAACAAAAACTGTGTAAAAGTATTGGACTTTTAAATAAAGTAAAAAGTATTCTGGAGTCATCAACAATTCATATATTATATTATTCATTTATTGTTCCATACTTGACTTACTGTATAGAGGTTTGGGGCAACACATATAAAACAAACACTAATCCTTTGTTTTTATTACAGATGAAAGCTATGAGAATTATATATAAAGTAGACGCTAGAGAACATACCAATAGACTTTTTATTGAATCAAAAATTATGAAATTCAGGGATTTGGTTAATTTGAAAACTTTACTAATTATGTTCAGGGCAAAAAAAAAAAGAGGTTACTGCCAGTGAAGTTACAGAAGTTTTTTGTTTTGATTTGAAATGATGGAAAAAATAGAAAGAAGCCTGAGTTTGAGTTTTTGCACAAACAACATTAAAGCAAATGTGTATTTCAGTATATGGAGTAAAATTATGGAATAATCTGGATCATGACCTGAAAAAATGTTTAACTACCGATCAATTTAAGAGACTATACACAGAAAAATCATAAGTAAATATTGAATGAGTATATTGATAAGTTTTATTGTGATTTTGTCTACAAAGGAAGTTCTATACTTGGTTTGTGTATAAGGCCATTCTGTAAATTATATCGTATGAAGTAGAAAGGGGTAGGTCATACAAGACGACTTCTTCCTCCCCCTTTTTTCACTTAGGAGACTGTTGACGATTGTATTTTGCATTGATGATGAATGAAACTGCTGAGTGAGAAAATAAATTAACAATTAATTCATACTTCTGTGTCGGGACGGAGACACGCAACGCCATTATCCGTCCTTACGAGTCTGCTGGAGAGCCTTCCAAAGGACGGACGGAGTCGAGCACTTTTCAGCTCTATAGGTCATCGTTGACTTCTGTCTGGGGTTTTACGGTTGGATAACCAGTTAAAAGAGTGAAAAACTTGACTTGTGACCACAAATAATTTTTTTCAAAGAAAACCCATTATTCCATTTTCTGATACAAAGTTGGTGCCTGGTGCTTTTATTAAATCAACACTTAAGAGACTGTAAGATAAACTTCAATAACGTTTATTTGTGTTTATGAAATTTTTTACTAGCTTTATTTAGCTGGACATCATTTTCAGTCAGATTTACTCTGCACTGGTTCCACAGCTGAAACTGGAGGAACATCTTCTTGCCTGTTTAGTCAAAAAGCGTCACCCAGGGTGTCAGATTCTCCTTTTTTGTCTCCACTCAAACACATTTGTTTCTCAGATCTACAACTTCTACATAGACACAAAACCGAGACGGTTCTAAAAGAGCTCCAGGGTCTGAGACCAGTCCTCATCTGAGAGAAAACATCTCAAACTTTCATTCAACTCACTGATTAAAATTAATCCCCTAGGGCAGGGGTGTCAAAGTCATTTTAGCTCAGGAGCCACATCGAGGGAAATTTAGTCCCAAGTGGGCCGGACCGGTAAAAAAAAAAAACTTCAGATTGTTTTCTTTGTTTTAATACAATCGATATAAAACAAGGCTGGAGCCTGAGGACAGTGTAGTACAAGTACAACACCTGAAGTGTACTTGAAAATTTGAAAGAAAAAAAAGTAATAATCAATAAAAAAAACATTCCTTAGTGATTCAAAGAGCTTACAGATCACATGGCTAGATCAGTTTCATGCAGCACTTAAAGTATATTTGACTCATTTTACTTTACATCTTTTAGCTTTCACCAGCACATCAACATCAGAAGTCACATCCTGAGTGGCGGCCAGCTTCAGGATGTGATTCAAGTTCTTGTGTGAGCCTTGAGCGCAGCTTTGTTTTATTTATACTCATTAGAGAAAACTTGCTCACAAAGATACGTTTATTTTCACTCTACATTGTAAAGTATGAAAATAAAGTTTACACAACCATCTCGCGGGCCGGATTCGGCCCACAAGCGGGTTAAATCCGGCCCGCGGGCTGCATATTTGACACCCCTGCCCTAGGGAGAAAAGCATCTTAAAAGCCAGAAATAGGCTTCAGTCAGGTTGTACATTGGCTTTTATGTTGTTTTATTTGTAAGATGAACTTAAAATGATAACATAACTCAAATGAAATCGTCAGAGGCTTCATCTGGCCCTCATGGTGGCACTCATCACACGTTTTGTTCTGAATCGCTGGTTTGGGGGGGGGGAACCCACTAATATAGAAAGACCAGATTCTAGAAACGCATCTGTTTTATGATCAGCTTTATTTTCCACAATATGAATGTTTTTGCTCTTAAATGCATCACGCTAGATCCAAAACAAGCAGACGAACACTGGAATATAAAGCAAAGGTCTACCGTCGGACTTCTACATGAACTCTGAGTGAATGTCACACACAACAGGCTTTAGAAACTCTGTTTAAAGTTTCACCAAAAATCTGATTACTGCGACTTTAAAACATGTTTTTTTTTATTTAGAAAACTTTTGTCTGAGCATCAAAACAAAGTATTTGGAGTCTTTCTCCTCTTTTTTTAAACGGCGTGAAACCGCATTCGACTCTTTCTATAAAATGAAGGAAGTGAATCACTTCTCTAAAGTCTCTGATCACATGATGCTGTTCTACAAACAGACAGTGGCTTTATCACACCATCACACCTGTGGCTTCTGACTCAGTCCACCTGCACTCAGGTGAGGGGCTGCGAGACCTGGAGGCTTCTAGCTCAGCTCACATCTCCTTTGGTTTCCGATAGTTACCATCGGAGGACACACACCCCGCAGCTCTAACCACGTTCCAGCTCACTCACACCTTTATGTCACACTTTAAAGACCCTTTTTTCCCTTTTTACTTGTTTTTGAACAAGCAGCATCGATCTACCCTTACATTCATGAAGGCGTAGCCGCTACTCTGAAGCGGCTTGCTTGTGTGTGGGTGCTGATGGCGTTGTGTGTGTGTTTTCGGGGCCCCGACATGAGCAAAAACACATCACCCACCTCCTTTCCATCAGGTTAAAGTAAAAGCAACCTGCGCTGAAAGTGTATGGATTTATTACAGTTTGGTCACATATTGAAAACACAAATGTAACGCAGGACCCTTGTGGATGCCTTTCAGCTTCTAGCGTTGCCTCAACAGCTGCATAAACCGGTTCGCTCCGGTTTGAACATATGTTGAAAAACATTTTCTAAACGAAACAGATGAAGAATTCCAAATCTGCTCGTTTTGGGTGTAAAACATGAGGAAGACAAAGAGGAAGTACATTTGAGAAAAAGGCATTTCTGAGAAACGACAGAGTTAATTCAGACTTTTGTTAAAAAAGCAAACATTTTGAACGTGTTGCTCCTGAACGACGCCGGTCCGGTGTACCAAGCCCACCACCCGGAGCGTGGTCTAGGTCACACCAGGGTCCGTGTTTCTATCCAAATGAGCCCACCTGCTGTCAGAGCAGTCTGTATTAGAGCAGCCGATGGATACTCACCAGCTCTCCCAAAGCACATCCAGAGAGGGACCGCCGCCAGCAGGGGAGCCCTGCCCCACACAGCCATATAGACTCGGGTTAAAGACGGACGACTGGTCTTCTTCAGCTCTCGGCGACAGAAACGACTCGAGGTTTTATTTCCCTCTGCGCTCTGGTGAGGGCTCAAGTATTGCATAGCTCACAGGAGCAGTGAGGGGAAGTTGTGGTCTGAGCTTGAAGTCCATTTGTCTCATATCTCATTAGACCACACCCCCTTTCACACCAAAACCAGAGGAAAGACATCACGGGGGCTTTGGTGTCTGCTGTCAAGTTAAATACACAGCTTCACAAGTCCTCCAAGCAAATGGAGACTTTAGCAATCAAAACAAGGGGCTTCACCTTACAGATAAAACATTTATTAGCTGCGGGAGGGGGGGGGGGGGGGGGGGGGGTTGTACATGAATGCGCTCAGACGTCAGACAGAAGACGCTCTAACAGGTAGGGCTGATCTTTATTAGCAGCATTAACGGTCAATCTCCCCAAACACAATGTCCTGAGTTCCTGTAGAGGAAGAGCGGAGGAGAAAAGTCATGTTGAGTTTCACTTCTACATTTTCACACACTAACATAAGCTCTTTCTCACCAATGATGGCCACCACGTCTGCTAGCATGTGTCCCTGGGACATTTTGTCCAATCCGGCCTGGAAACAGAGAGCCAACACTCAGAACGAGAGCAGCAACCCGAACCCGGCCGAGTGACTTCATTAGAACATCACCACAAGTCACCAGAGACATTAAAGACAAGTGTGTTACAAAAACAAACTACATGCTGACCATCTGTGTGTCCTAAAACCAGGTTTTTCACGTCATTGTCTCAAGTCCAGGTCAAGTCTCGAGTCTCTGTGTGACTTAAAGGAGACTTGAGTGTAGGGATGTAAGAAAATGTCGATTATGGCAATACATCGTGATATTTTCCCCAGCGATATATCGATATGCAAAAGCTGTGTATCGAAAATATCGATATCACAATATATCGTGATTTTTTTCCCTTGCACAAATGTATCGATATTCAAATGTCGTGTACAGTAATCCCTCGCTACTTCGCGGATTCGCTGCTTCGCGGATTTTTTCTTTGGAGCATTTTTCAGGGGGAATTCGCAGATTCGCAGTATTTTTCACTGATTCGCGGTATTTTTCTATGTGAAATATCAAGAAATTCTTGTTTTTTTTTCATCAATTTCATCATAAAATACACTTTTTGTAATAAAACTACAAAACAAGTAAAAAACATTTTTTTTTCTTGAGTTTTACCCACAAAAACAGAATGTGATCATACGATAATTCAATATAGTACTGTATGTCAGACAGGTCAGCTGGATTCGGGAGTTGAGCTTGTAGGGAGCGTGGTTTCACAGACGCGGTAGTGATAGCGTCGGTGAAACGCCGGCTGATTTAGGAAACCCCCGAGCGTTCGAGCGTCAACGAAGTGACACGGAAATGCCGGGCTTTCCAGAAGAAAGATAACTTACTATGAGCTGATAGTTTGTTGGATTGATCGGTAGGTTGGAAACTCTGATCATGAATCTGAAGAAACGATGACTGAGTGGTGAGCTGGAAAGGCGACTTCCGTTTATAGCCGCGGTTTGTGACGTAGGTGTGACGTGGAGGGAATCCCCGCGAGGGGCATGCTGGGAGTCCCTACTTCGCGGATTTTCACCTATCGCGGCCAGGTCTGGAACGCATCTACCGCGATAAACGAGGGATTACTGTATCTAATTTTTGGAAGAATTTACATGGAAACATTTGTGTATTTTCTTTTCTTGTGGTGAATTTCAAACGCCGACCACTAGTTGGCAGCAGTGTGTAATGGGTTTTGTTTCTAACATTGAAATGTAAATCCCTCTGTTATGGATAAACATGTTAAGTATCAGTTTGGACTGTTTATTGAATTTTCCTGTAATAAATTTAGTCTAAAAAAATCGCCAATATCGTCTGACTGAATGTATCGCAATATATCGTGATATATTGTATCGTCTCCCCTGTATCGTAATATGTATTGTATCGCCAGAATTTCACCAATACACATCCCTACTTGAGTGTGTGCAGTAAAGCTTATAAACGTGTCGTTTATGAAGCAGAAGTCTCTCTTACAACATTTTATGACGGATCTTGACAGGTTTTAATAATATTCCGTGTTTTATCGTTTACTCACCAAGTGGGCAAATCCAGGAGCTTTGATCTTGCACCGATAAGGTCTACTGGAGCCGTCTGATACCAAATAAATGCCGAACTCCCCCTGAAAGCAGCAGAAAGAACACAAAAACAATTCAGTCAAGGAAAAATGTCAAACAGGGAAGGACCAGAGCTGTGTGGAAATAAACCAGATGCTGACGACAAAACAGCCATCAGGGTTTGTTTCAAGCAGGAGTTGAGGTCGAAACGATGAAACATCACGACTGACAAAAACTCAACAGATCAGCCATTTTGAAACGCTTTTGTGGAACGTCTAATTTACTCGTCTCCGTCTGCGTCGGGAGGGAGACGCACAACGCCATTTTCCGTCCTCGCAAGCCTGCTGGAACGTCCTCGCAAGGACGGATGGAGTCGAGCTCCATTGGTTTGACAAGACGGAGAACGCAAGCTTGTGATTGGTCGGGACGCCATTGGCGCCCTCAAAAACACGAAGAGCCGAGGATATCTAGCGGCAGCTTGAAGAATACCTCGTGAAAAAAGCTAAAATTATGAACGTTTTATTCCGCCGTGACTGGAGGAGTAAAAAGATACGCAGCTGACATTTTATTCGTGGACAGAAACAACGGGAACATGGGTTCAGAGGCGGCGAGTGCATGACAACTGAAGTCACCGTCAGAAAAACGGTTTGTAATTTTAGACATTACAGGGAGTTTTGGGGATAAATGACCAGAAAAAGACTAAATAACATTTTAACAGCAGTTGTTTGAACCTCATCTCTACTAGCTCTCTAGCGCCCCCTTCTGGTTGGGGACCACTGATCCAGAAGGAAACCAGAGCATGCAGCCGGATGAAGTGTGGTCTGACCTTCGGAGCCTCTACAGCGGTGTAAGTGGCCCCTGGGGGAACCTGGTAGCCCTCGGTGTAAAGCTTGAAATGATGGATCAGAGACTCCATGGACGTCTAAAAGGACAAAAACAAAGGTTTAGGTTTAGCCCAATCAGAAACAATTCCTTTCTGTTCCCTTTAAAAACCAAAGTAGAGATTTGAATTCTTCATGGGTGTGAGCAGCTCTGATGGCAGAGGGACAAAACGCTCATGGGACATCTAAACGCTGCTGAGATGTTGACCCCGATGCTCTGACCGGGGCATGACGGTGCAGCACATCTGTGACACTTCCTGTCTTCAAAACAAGTAATAAAACTTTTAATTGGATCCAGGAACTAACACTAAAGTTTAGCTTCATCCTGGGTTTAATATTCGGTGGGACCCTGAGGAACACCATGATGTGATGGGAGTGACCTTGATGGATACAACCTGGATGGTGGGAGCTTTCTTCAGCTGAATGAAGATAAGACTGAGATCCTCTGTGTCCCAGACAAGCTGGTTCCCAAAGTCAGAGACTCTCTTGGTCAGCTTGCTTCTCACACCAAACCTTCTGTCAGGAATCTTGGCCTGACCTTTGACCCAGCTCTCACCCTGGATTCTCATGTCAGTTCTCTTGTTCGCTCTTCCTTCTTCCATCTCAGGAACGTTGCTAAGCTGAGTCCCATTCTGTCCCGCTCTGAACTTGAGACTGTTCTCCACACCTTCATCTCCTCACGCTTAGACTACTGTAACTCTCTTTTCACGTGTCTGAGCAGAACCTCCCTGAACCGTCTACAGGTGGTTCAGAACGCCTGTGCTCGGCTTCTGACCAAGTCCTCCAAACACACCCACATCACCCCGCTTCTCCGCCAGCTTCACTGGCTGCCAGTCAACTTCAGGGTTCATTTCAAGATCCTGGTTCTGGTTTATAGGGCCTTACATGGACAAGCACCATCTTACATTGGCAGGGCCGTGCAGAGACCTTTGAAGGGTCGGGTGCTCAAAGTTAAAGGGGGAGCAAGTTTTTAAAACGGATTCCTGATCCAACAAGTACGTCTAATAATGAGAGAACCTTGAGTTCAAACGACATAAAAACAACTAGGAAAATATTTTATTTCGTGTCGTTAATTGAAGGCAATTTTATTTCATTAATATTTGTTTTAGTATTTAAAGCAGACTTGGATCTAAATGGCCTGTATTTGATATAGTGCCTTCTAGGGTCCTGGAACCGCCCAAGGTGCTTTACGACACAATCACCCATTCACACCCTAGTGGTGATGAGCTACATTGTAGCCACTAGGGCTGCACCAACGAATCGATAAATTCGATGAAAATCGATTACTAAAAGCGTTGGCAACGAATTGCGTCATCGATTCGTTGTGTTGCGCAACTCTTAGACCAAGCATTTTAGGTCACAGATAGGTGTAGCTTAGGGTCTCTGTCTATACACCTTATAATACAATTTAGGTGATGGCATGTTGTTTTTCTGCTATTGAACTGTTTTCTAATAATGTTGTGTTTAATAAAGTGAAGGAAGGAGAGAAATAACGTTTCCCTAGCAGTTTTTAAAAATGTCCCAATGTAATCCGATTAATCGATTAATCGTGTCGAGACCCCATCCGATTCATCGATTATCCAAATAATCGTTTGTTGCAGCCCTAGTAGCCACAGCTGCTCTGGGGCGCACTGACAGAGGCGAGTCAGCCATGCACGGGCGCCACCAGTCCCTCCGACCACCACCAGCAGGCAACGTGACTTGTGTCTTGCCCGAGGACACAACGGCAGACTCGGTGCTGTCCTCGGAAACCACGGTGGTCACACAAAACTCTAGATGTAGTAGTTTTAGTTGTGGGGTGGATTCATTCCTGCTTCAGTCAGTTTTAGTAAAACTGCAGATTTTGTATCTAAGTTTAATTATTAACCTTAATTTCATGTTATGGAGTTAAACACGTGTTCACTAAACCAGCCTGGTGAACATCCTGGAGACTGTTCTTTGTTCTCTGAGCTGCTGATTATTTATGCTGTGCACAGACGGTGGCACAGGAGTTAAGCGCTCGCCCCGTAATCGGAAGGTCGCAGGTTCGAGTCCCGCTCAGTCTATCGTTGTGTCCTTGGGCAAGACACTTAACCCACGTTGCCTGTGTGTGTGTGTGTGTGTGTGTGTGTGTGTGTGTGTGTGTGAGGATGGCTGCTTATACTGAGCCAGGATTCTCTGGAGGTTTCTTCCTGTTAAAAGGGAGTTTTCCTCTCCACTGTCGCTTTATGCTTGCTTAGTATGAGGATTGCTGTATAGTCACTGACACTTGTTAGTGACTTGATGCAATTTGCTGGGTTCCTTATATAGGAAACATTATTTCTGATTGGCTTAATGAGCTGACCTGAATTGGAATGTTTATTATGTGAAGTGCCTTGAGACGACTCTTGTCGTGATTTGGCGCTATATAAATAAACTTGGATTGAATTGAAGGCGCTATATCAAATACAGGCCATTTGCCATTTGGTGAAAGGTAAAAAGGTAAAAATGTGACAGGAGCATCCACTCAGCTCACCTTCATCTCAGACCTCTTGGGTGGGGACACTTTGGCGTCGTCCACCTTTATCTCCCCCTCTGGCATTTTGTTGAGTGCCTGTAGTATGATTCTCAGGGATTGCCTCATCTCCTCCACTCGGCACAGATACCTGGACACATCACCAGGACCATCAGAGAAGACATCAGCCAGCAGCAACAGCTTTGGGCCCGGTCCGACACCTTTACCTGTCGTAACAGTCCCCGTTGCTCCCAATTGGAACGTCAAACTCCACCTCGTCGTACTTGTCGTACGGCTGAGACTTCCTCAGGTCCCACTTGATTCCTGATCCTCGCAGCATCACTCCACTGATCCAGGATGAAGAGAGAGAAAAGAACCAGAAGACCGTCAACAGAGGTTCGGTGTTGCTTCATTGTTCTCCTTCACTCAACTGGAGGTTTACCTGAAGCCATAGTTGAGAGCTTCCTCAGCAGTGACAACCCCGATGTCCACAGTCCGATTCTTCCAAATGCGATTGTTGGTCAGCATCTGCGTGGGCAGTGTCCAACAGAACACTGGAGTTTAATGAACAGCTGCCATAGCGACACATTTTACATGTCAGAAATGTCCTTTCAACCACAGACTTGGTCTGCTTTCTTGCTGAGCTGGTTAACTATAATATGGCCCTTTCACACTAGCATCAGCTCCACTCCGCCTGGATAGCATAGTGTGTGTTCACATTAGCATAGCCTGCCTTTTCTCAGGGTGCCACCGGCCTGGTTTTCAGCCCTCTTCCTGAGGTGGTCTGCTTCAGGCTGACCAGGGCCAACACACCCGCTGCTGACTGATAAGCCGGCTCAAATCCACACCTTCCATTAGGGGAAGCCTCCGATTGGTGGGTAGAATCAGCCCACCCGGACTTACGGCATCATCATGCTGATTACCTTGGAGCTGAGAACTTCTCTGACTGCATTCCTAAGCAAGGACGTGTGCGATCAACTGGGCCAGACTGGGACTGTCCAGGCGGAGTGGAGCTGATGCTAGTGTGAAAGGGCCCATGTGTGTAGACTTGTGTACCTCTTCTACTTCATCAATTCTCAACGAGAAGTTTTTGCACCATTCATAGATGTCATCCATCAGGCCGAGGGGCATATCCTGCAACACATTCAAGACTCATCCCGTCATAAAGCTGATCAAAAGTATCATTTCGCCTGATTACTTACATGCTTACAAACCCTAAAGCTTGGTTTAAGCTTGACGCGTTTACGTTCCGCTTGGTGATGCGGCTCGCGGATGGAACGCGCTTCACAACTCGCAGCGTTTATGGTTCATGCGGCTCGTCTCTGCGGTGAGCCAATATTCTCCCAAACTGTAGGGGGCAGCATGGAGCTCTACGGCATGCATCCAACACTACACCATAGTAGAAGTAGAAATTACTGTTTACAACATGGCATTCCAGCATTTTTAACATCGTCCTCGTCTTTTCCGACAGTGCGAGCTATTTCTCACCAAGAATTATTAACAACATGTTGATCACGGTGATCTCTGAGAGCTGAATCATACAAATGTCTGTATTTACGAACCTCTGCCATGCTAGTTCTTGCCAGTCCGCCATGTTTTTCCACGTCCGACCGTCCGCGTGGTTAGAAAATTTCCTAGGTGCGCGGTGCGGAAAGTTTGGTCCGTGCGGAGGAGCGGTGGAGGGGCGTGGTTGTTAAAATGACGCAATTTTGCCGCGCGGAGCCGTGCGAACCTTGCGGACGCGTCAAGCATAAACCAAGCTTAAACGTACCAAAGGTAAGCCGTACGACCCTGAAGCTTACAGCTATCGTGTTTTTTGCTCCTGATCCAATTCACGAGTTCCGATCCGATACTTAAGAAATCCATTAAGAAAAAAGGAGAGTTCTCCTTTAAGTCTTTAAAATCATTATTCCATTTCTTTCTCTCTGTATTTTTGGTAAGTGGCCTGTATTTGAGATGGCACCTTCTAGAGTCCTGGAACCCCCCAAGGCGCTTTACAACACAACCAGTCATTCACCCATTCACACACTGGTGGGGATGCCCTGGGGCGCACTGACAGAGGCGAGGCTGCCGAGCACTGGCGCCACCGGTCCCTCCGACCACCACCAGCAGGCAACGTGGGTTAAGTGTCTTGCCCAAGGACACAACGACAGCCACAGACTGAGCGGGGCTCAAACCTGCAACCTTCCAATTACGGGGCGAGCACTTAACTCCTGTGCCACCGTCGCCCCATGTCATTTATGTCATTTATTTAGTTTATCTGCCACAACACATCACTTGTTTAGAAAGTAAATGAATAAGAATAAATGTAACAGTAGTCTTGTAATAGTAGTAGTAGTAGTAGTAGTAGTAGTAGTAGTAGTAGTAGTAGTAGTAGTAGTAGTATTTTAACTCATTTAAATGCTCGGTGTGTGGCTGTTTTCAGCTACAGGGATTACACGACACTTGACGTCAGCAGCAGAGTAACTTTTTTCTACATAACACCTGTACAGCTGCTGCGTGTGTAAACGTAGAAAGAGAAAGCAGCTCGTAGCTCGACTGCAGAACCCGACATGTGCAGTCACAGACCTTCATCCAGTGTGATGAATATTCTGCTATCTCGGCATTTTTGCTGTCTGGAGAATATTTCTTGGTTTCTTAATGTACATTTTAGTGTCGGCTGGCTTAGTTGAACTGCTGCAGCGAACTGAGCAGGGTCAGGTTTTTTAAGGTGGCACATCAGCATACCGTTTCCACCTTGTTAAATGCCCAGTTTGCCCACATTACATGTGTTTATCATTAAATGAACTTTGTTGTTCATTTAAAATAGATCCAGACATTTTATCTCTTTTGAGGTGACAGCTATGCTGTGTTAGCTAACTGCTACATGTTGTGGTGCGTGAATTCCCAGACTACCTTAAATAGTGGGACTTAAGGTGTTGTTGTCTGCGAAACAAAGAGCACTGATGTAAAGGAACTTGTTGAATTTAAACCTCAGCCATCGGTATTCCGTTGTAAGCGATGTTTGTTGTTTTATATGGTAAAATCTGATTTTTCCCACCTATTCCGATTCCTTGAAAATCACGTGATCGGATCGAAGCGTCCCTCGTTGAAACAGAAGCATTATTTGTCTTTAGGAGTTCTGACTATGAACACCAACATCGTGAAGAGCGTTGCTCAGCCTTCTGACCCACCTGGTGAACGCCTCCTGGTCGGACGTACGCAGCGTGCATTCTGGCTCCAGACACTCGCTCATAAAACTCAAACATCTACAACAAAACAAACAAGAACCTCCATCAGAAAAACAACAGCATCTGGTTTTATGTTTTATATCAAAGTTTTAAACCACACGTGTCAGACACAAGATAAATATCAAAAATATGTTAAAACTGGCCCGCTGGCCGATTTTACCGCAAAGACTACAACTCCCATGATGCTTTGCGGCGTCAGCGCAGAGCCGACGCACACCCTCCTTTGTGTTTTTTCCAGCGTCTGCTGCCGGTGTCTGCAGCTCCGCTGTCTCGGACAAACTAAACACTCCTGTCACTCAGCGCCGAGTCTACTCAGCTATTTGCCGACGTTGAAGCCCAGAAACGGAGATTTTAACCGCTCAGTAATGTGTTCACGGCTGAAGTACAAAGTTTTCCAACTAACGTCCAGCCAGAGCTGATATAACTCCAGCGACACGCTCAAACCAGCATGACTCTGTGGCTGCTGTAGTTGTTATTTTTCCTCCCCGACACACAACGACGTGGTCAACCTGCTCAGACATGTTCATCAGCACAAACCTATGTGAGCACCTGTTGTCATCTAATGTTGTCATTATTATGATGAAGATGAACAAAACAACAGGAGTCTCCTCCTCAGCTCAGATCAGCCCCATGATGCAGGTATCTGGCTGGAACAGGTGAGCATCACAGTAAACCAGTGGAGCAAACTGAGCTTTAAATGTGTTGGTTTTATGCTCTTTTTCTGCTCCAAAACATGAAAGTTAACAGGTGAGATGTTGCATTTTCATTTAAGATTAATTGATATTTTTATTTTGTTGTTGGCCCGTGAGAAAAGATTTAACCTACAGTAAACAGGAAGTGGAAAGGCTACAGAGAGATGAATAGAATAGAAAATCCCTTTATTGTTCCTCAGTGGGGAAAGCTAGACGTCACAGCAGCGATGACACATATTACAGGAGAAAAAAAGAGAACAAAAATTAAACAAGAAGAAAACATAAATCCTGAATTGATTTTAAAAATGCTGAATTTACCACAAGTAATGAATACCACTGATGTGTTTTCGTCCTGCCCTGTAGGCAGCTGAACCAAGAACATCTCTTTTCTAAGTGGAGCGTTGCTGCCACCTGTTGACATTTTTAGGAACTGCTTTTGCCTTTGAGTTACGTACGCACCGCGTTCATTCTGTGCTAGTAGCAGGGCAGCTGCAGACGTGTTTCGCATGAGTGCTGCAATTGGGTTTGGGTTTCTTCGAAGCAATGCCTGTAAGCAGTAGTTTATATGCAGTAATGAACATTTAGGCTCATTTGAGTGAAAGAAAGCAGCTTTGTGCTTACTGACTTTATGTTTCTTTAATTTGTTCATGGAGATGTCCAAGAACTATGGACGCTCTTCTTGTTTGCTGCGCTGTAAGCTAATTAGCATGCTTGTAGGCTATCTGATGTTGCATTACTGCAATGCTAATCAATTGGCTTACATAAGTGTCTCAGACTCAGTAGCATTTCTTAGCATTGCTGTAATAACATTATGACAAATATAAAAGCTGGAACACTGAACTGTAATGCAACATCAGATAGCCTACAAGCATGCTAATTAGCTTGTAGCGCTGCAAACAAGAAGAGCGTCCATAGTTCTTGGACATCTCCATGAACAAATTAAAGAAACATAAAGTCAGTAAGCACAAAGCTGCTTTCTTTCACTCAAATGAGCCTAAATGTTCATTACTGCATATAAACTACTGCTTACAGGCATTGCTTCGAAGAAACCCAAACCCAATTGCAGCACTCATGCGAAACACGTCTGCAGCTGCCCTGCTACTAGCACAGAATGAACGCGGTGCGTACGTAACTCAAAGGCAAAAGCAGTTCCCAAAAATGTCAACAGGTGGCAGCAACGCTCCACTTAGAAAAGAGATGTTCTTAGTTCAGCTGCCTACAGGGCAGGACAGTTTTATTTAAACCGGACTTGCTCGTGTGTAATTTGGTTATCCACATTCAGTGTTAATGCAAAAATAAGTTTGTTTCCAAATTAAAAGGTTCAAAGTTGCATTTATGTCGATAAAGAAAAAGTGCAAATTTGCCGTCACTTTTTCAAAAAATATTAAGTTCGGCCCGCGACTTTGTCCCAGATTTTCATTTTGGCCCCGTGTGAATTTGAGTTTGACTCCCCTGTATTAAACCTAAACCTGGGGTAAAACAAGCTCACAATAAAACACTCAGTCTAGGTGAGCAAACGACCAACAACCTCTGTATTAAACTCGTTTATAGTGTTTTAAGGGGGTTTCATCCCAGAGGTTCCAGTTCTAGAGCAGGACTGTAGCTGGACCTGGTTCTTCATTAGTTCTTTATAAAATCATTAAAGAACCCGTGGTTCTCTCTTCCAGCCTAGTAAGGACTTGGTGAGCCAGCGCTGGTTCTGCTGAAGACCTGGAACCAGTCTGGATAAGTTCAGAGGAGAGCGTGTTTCTGCTCTTATACGACCTAAACTGTGGAAAGATCCGCTTTAAGACACCAGAGAGAATTTGCAGGTCAGTATTTTAATAATTTAATGTAAACTTGGCCCGATCGAGTTGTTTTAAAGGGCCTTATAAATAAAGCTGGACTGGATTTGGTTCAATGGTCCACTGATCTGCACTTGTATAGCGCCTTTCAGAGTCGGAGGACTCCAGAGCGCTTTACGCCACGCTGCATCATTCATCCATTCACACACACATGGTGATGAGCTACTTTATCGCCACAGCTGCTCTGGGGCGCACTGACAGAGGCGAGGCCGCCGAGCACAGGCGCCACCACCAGCAGGCAAAGCGGCTTAAGTGTCTTGCCCAAGGACACAACAGCAGAATTCTCTGTCTGGAGCCAGAATCAAACCTGCAACCTTCCGATTACTGGACAACCTGTTGAGCTACTGTTACCCAACCTCAGACAGCGAAGCCGAGGTTGACTGACACACACACACACACACACACACACACACACACACACACACACACACACACACACACACACACACACACACACACACACACACACACACACACACACACACACACACACACACACACACACACACACACGCGTGGTGCTGACCTTCTCTCTCTCCTCAAACATCCAGAAGAAGGGCGTCATGGCCCCGATGTCGAGGGCGTGAGTGGTGACAGCCATGATGTGGTTCATGATGCGGGTCAACTCTCCATACAGAACTAAAAACACAAACAAAGAACCGGATCTGAGAGCAGAACCGACAGCAAGAAGACGGTCTGACACGAGAAAAAACAGCTGTGTTGAGTTTCACTTGAAGCGCACTAATGGGCGCACGTGAACACCGTTCCTCGCAGGCGATACCTCTGATCCACTGGGCCCGAGGTGGAGCCTGGATGTTGAGCAGCTTCTCCACAGCCAGAGAATAGGCCTCCTCATTACACATCATGGAGACGTAGTCTAGACGGTCAAAGTAGGGCAGAGCCTGTGGCACAAACAGGAGAAGCTTCAGGAATGTCACACCACAAACCGCCTCATCAGTATTTACTTTCACCAGAGTCAGGTGTCGTGACAGCAGAGGGTAATCGGGGGCAGGAAGCCTGTGCCAGTACCAGGCTGTACGAGTCACCGCTCCTCAAGCGGCGAAGTTCAAGTATCTCGGGGTCTTGTTCACGAGTGAGGGTAGGAGGGATCGGGAGATCGACAGGCGGATTGGTTCGGCGTCTGCAGTGATGCGGACGCTGAGCCAATCTGTCGTGGGGAAGAGGGAGCTGAGCCAGAAAGCCAGGCTCTCAATTTACCGGTCGATCTACGTCCCAATCCTCACCTATGGTCATGAGCTTTGGGTAATGACCGAAAGAACGAGATCGCGGATACAAGCGGCCGAAATGAGTCTCCTCCGTAGGGTGGCCGGGCTCAGCCTTAGAGATAGGGTGAGGAGCTCGGACATTCGGGAGGGACTCGGAGTAGAACCGCTGCTCCTCCGGATCAAAAGGAGTCAGTTGAGGTGGTTTGGGCATCTGGTCAGGATGCCTCCTGGACGCCTCCCTGGGGAGGTGTTTCGGGCATGTCCTGCCGGCAGGAGGCCCCCGGGTCGACCCAGGACACGTTGGAGAGGTTACATCTCCAATCTGGTCCGGGAATGCCTTGGGGTCCTGCCGGAGGAGCTGGTGGAGGTGGCCGGAGAGAGGACGGTCTAGAGCTCCCTAGTTGGGATGCTGCCCCTGCAACCTGGACCCGGATAAGCGGAGGAAGACGACGACGATGACCACAGCTTGACGCAGGTGCGTAGAGCTCAGTGGTTGACTTTTTTATTGCCAATACCGATCCCAACATGTAGAGGTCATGGTCAGCCTGTGGGGTCAGGAATGTACATTTATATTTAAATGAAACTCCACAGCAGTGCCAGGCTGCCCGGGGAGGAGTCTTTAAATCAGTTTGCCTAAGGAAACACATCGGCCGATGCTAATGTAAACAAAAATAGGTAAACATCAGCCCAATATGTCGGTCTAACCATCGTTGCAGCTCAGGATTCGATTTTTTTCCACTCAGCATTCGGCCGGATGACGCTGCACCTTGGTCTTGGTGGTGCTGATCAGTTGTTTGTAGAAAGCTGAACTCTTTTGGATGTTTGTCACACGGTGAACAGATCCAGCTTCAATGTTTCTCTCGTGTCTCAAACCTGTGACCTCCCTGACCCCCAGCGTTCTCTTTTAAATGCGTTCATCATATCAAAACGTTTTTTAATCAATAGACTTTCTGAATAAGTGAAACTTAAAGGGCAACTTGGATGTGTTTTTTTTTATTATTATTTCAAGGCTTTCCTGAAAATGATCAGATCGGACTCGGAATGGGACTGGGCGCAAACGAACAAGATCAGACCAGCTCTAGTGTGTTTCAGCCTGGTGATGCGCATCTGTAGTCCCGGGCGTGTTTTCACACAAAACCTCAAAAAACTGAACTGCGTGAGATTGCGTCATTTAAAAAATCGATTTAAGAACTTCGCCTTCAGGAAGTTCCTAACAGATTTGAATCTGGTCAACATGAAACGAAGCAAAAGCTCTTGGTGGCGCCGCACCTGTAGGTAGGTCTTGTACTCGATGAGCTTCTCTGTGCCTCGGTGAAGAAGGCCAATGTGAGGGTCACACTTCTTGACGGACTCGCCGCTGAGCTCCATCACCAGGCGCAGCACGCCGTGAGCTGCGGGATGCTGGGGGCCAAAGTTAATGGTCAAGGTTGAAACCTCCTTCTCTACAGGAGGGTCTTTATCTGGAGGTAAAACAAATGAGTTGGGGACAATAAACCCGACAGCTTCTAGATCATCATTGTTCAAGTGTAGTTCAACCAGATGTTCATCGTGTAACAGAATGAAATGACTGTTTTCCACCTAAAGTCATTTCCCCCTCTCCTCTGACACAGAACTAGTCTGCATGAGATATGGCCTCAAGGTCTCATGCATTTGTTATAAACTGCTTCTTTCCAGCTCAACAGAAGAATGAAGAATGGACTCTCTCCTTTTAATAAATCAAATAACTATTTTAATAAAGCTAATCAAACAAAGTGTTAGTCAATAATAAGATGTGACCAATCTGTGAAATCAAAATATTAATGACTTTATTATAATCCTATAGAATATAATCAGTAATATGACTTTAAATGTTTCTACTAGGACTGATCTCACGTAGCGTTAAGACATGACACGTTGCTTTACTGATCCAATCAGAATCTGCCAGATCTGATGGAGGCGTGGTTTTGGTCGTGTTTGGTAAATCTGTCATCTTTTCATTCGACCATAAACCAAAACATCCGAAGTATAAAACTATGCCCACGCCATCTTTAACGCCAGTTCAAAGCGTTCTAGAGAAGTTGTCGGAGTGGCCAATCCGTAACTTTCCTCTTCAGCCGAAAGAACCAATGACACGCTGGATAAAATCTGTTGCTGTTCCACCTGCTGCTACGGTTCCTTTCAGAATAAAAGCTGAACCATCACGACCCAGGTTTGGGTCTTGTTAGATGCCGATAAACTGTCGTGACCCAGGAGTATCTCAAGACTGGTGGTCGGCTGCCGCGGCTGCTTCTACAGGCTTCGGCTCCATAAGGTCAAGCTGGACCTTTACACCTCCTGATCTAACGGGGACTTCCGCTAAGGGTACGTAGACCGACAAATGGCGTCGAATGTGTTTATGAATCTCCTAATCAAAGCTTAGCGCAAAGACATCACCTTCACTCCCATCAGAACTAATAGTATCTTCGGATTTGCTGGTTCTGAGCAACATTCCACATTACACCATTCTCTGTCTCATTCACCTTAGTTACACCATACATTTAGTGTTAAAGTTAGTCTAGTTTAATTTGTTTAGTAATAAATCTTTAAACTTTTAAACTCGACTCTCTCTTCTGTTGTCTCTGAGTGAATACGAAGTTGTTATCTAATCCCTGCAATAAAAAGTTCCAATCTTCTGGTTAAACAGTACCCACAGATCCATAAGGGTGCTTTCATATTTACTATGGAATCTTATGTCTCATGGCTCATTAAATAACATGTAAATTAACTCATTACAATCGTTTATCCAATAACCACTAACAACAACCAGCAATGGGATCACACAAGTAATTAACCATGTTCAGTAACAGAAAATAACCACATTCATCTATGAAAACATACGGGACTCTTCCCCCGTCCAGGAGAGGACATAAATGTTTTAATAACTTTCTGCAAAAAGGAAGAAACAGAAGATGAGAAACTTGTGGTTCAGGTCCCACCAGCAGAACTCTTTTACACCAACTACTTACAAAGAAAGTTAGCTGGGCTGGGATGCAATTGAAGAAAGGGGACAAGAAAAGGCAGACACACGAAAAGGAGGAAAATGAAATCAATGAATACATTCATCCCATTTTAATTCAATCATGTAATCAGATCAGATCAAGTGGAGCACGAGACTTTAGTGCAAACAAACGGATTATTTCCAGTCAGTCCGTTCAAACAGTGAAACTTGTATATCAAGTTCATTCATCCACAGACTGATTTATTTCTGATGTTTATTTCTTTGATGTTGATGATTATAATTGACAACTCATGAAAATCCAAAATTCAGTATCTGAGAACATTAGAATATCATTTAGGGCCAATACAAAAGGACTTTTAGAAACCTTAGCCAACTGAAAGATTGGTTACTTAGGCCTGGATTACTGCAGCAACGCGGCGTGGCAGGAAGTCCATCACTGCTCATGAGAGCCCATGTTGCTCTGAGAGAGGCCTTCAGCTTAGGGCTGCTCAATTAATCGAATTTTAATCACAATTACGATCTGAGTTTTGAACGATTATAAAAAACAAAACAAGCCGATTATTTGCTCCTCCCACCTGCGCTGCCCTGAGTTGCAAATGAAGCGCTCCTCCACAGTGTTGCCAACTTGGCGACTTTGACGCTATTTCTAACAGCTTTTCAGACCCCCTTCTTGACTTTTTAAATCCTATAGGTACCTGGCGAACACCTCAGAAACATCTCTGGTAACCCTTAGCTACTTTCTGGATAAGTGTCGTCGACGTTTCCTGCAGGTTAGCTAAACACTCCGCCTGCGCTCTGGACCGTTCTTCAGGACATTAGGAAAGGGAATGATGTAGTGATGTGTCGGTCGCTAAAGAAACGGCTCTCAGAGCCGGCTCCCTGTTGGAGTAACCAGAGTGAGTGACACACACCGTACCTGCGGACTCCTGAGCCGCTAAAAACAGCTAAATGTGCACGTGCGGCATGCCCCTGATTGCTGTGAGACCGGGTTGGGGGGTGGGGGGTGCAGCTGTGGTTGGGACAATTATTACATTAACTGATGGACCTGTAAATAAATAGTTTATAAATAAGGTAGAAATAAGTTCCTCACGCTGATAAATAATAACTAATCTCTCTGAGGACACGGTGCTAGTGCACTCTCCTACAGCACCTTGACACGACTCAATAAATGTTATGCAACATTTTGTGAATATCAATTTATTTGCATTTATTTGTTACAAATGCCGCTGTATAATTCTTGCTGTCAGTATTTGCAAGATATTGGTATTTGGGTCTGTACTGGTTAGACTTAAATGAGTTAAACCAAGGTCTATAGCCCTTGGGTCATAGACTATGAGCTATAAGTTTATTGGTCTTTTTATACTGGGAATCAGGAGTTATTTTAGTGATCATCTTGTTTCTTATTTATTTTTTGTCCTGATTGTGCCCTGAGCAATTTTATGACTGAATAAAAACAAATAAAAACAACATAAATAGAAAAATCGTCCTAAATAATCGTGATCTCAATTTGAGTCACCATAATCGTGATAATTATTTCTGCCATAATCGAGCAGCCCAACTTCAGCTTTTCTGATTTGTTGGGTCTGGTTTATTGCATCTTCCTCTTCACAATACCCCACAGATGTTCTATGGTGTTATGGTCAGGAACGAATGCTGGCCAATCAAGAACAGGGATACCATGGTCCTCAAACCAGGTACTGGTAGCTTTGGCACTGTGTGAAATGTGCATCTCCATGAAGTCGTCAGCAACAGGAAGCATGAAGTGCTCTAAAACTTCCTGGTAGATGACTGCGTTGACCTTTGACCTCAGAAAACACAATGGACCAACACCAGCAGATGGCATGGAACCGCAAACCATAGCTGACTGTGGAAACTTTCCTCTGGACCTCAAGCAATGTGGACTCTGTGCCTCTCCTCTCTTCTTCCAGACTCTGGGACTTTGATTTCCAAAGGAAATGCAACATTTACTTTTAGAAGAAGAAGAAGAAAATATAATTTCTTTGGCGCCGCTCAAGATAAAAATCACGAGGTGCTTCACAAAAACAAAAAATGTAAAAATATAAAAAAGCATTTAGAAAATGTTTAAAAATATATTTAAAATGAGCAAAAATAGGCAATTGTGATTAAAAAATGTAAAGAAAGAGAGAGAGTGAACAGGAAAGAGGGAAATCAGTGGATCCTGAGGAAGGTGGGATAGGTGGGGAGAGCAGAATAAAGAGAGAGAGGTGAAGAAGGTCATACAAAAGCCAGCTTGAACAAGTGAGTCTTCAGCTGCTTTTTAAAGGAGACCACTGAGTCCACTGATCTCAGGCTCAGGGGGAGAGAGGTCCAGAGTCTGGGGGCCACAGCAGCAGATGATCTGTCACCTTTGACCTTTAGCCTGGTGCTGCACAACCAGTAGGCTTTGGTCACTGGACCTCAGGGACCTGCTGGGGGTGTAGGGACTGAGAAGATCACCAATGTAAGATGGTGCTTGTCCATGTAAGGCCCTATAGACCAGAACCAGGATCTTGAAATGAACCCTGAAGTTGACTGGCAGCCAGTGAAGCTGGAGGAGAAGCGGGGTGATGTGGGTGTGTTTGGAACTAGAGAACTAGAGAACCTTACTGAACTAGAGAACCTTTACTAGAGAACATAGCCTTGAATCACTCAGCAGCAGTCCGGTCCTTTTCATCTTCAGCCCGGGTGAGATGCTTCTGATGCCGTCTCTTGTTGAGTTACTAGCGTGTGCTGCAGCTTCACATTTCCATAAAAACCTGTTTTGTTCACATATTCAGACGTTTCTAATGGATTAAAATCATAATCGCTGCTTTTCAGACTCTGAGTACACTACCGTGCTTACAAAATCTGTGCACCGTAACTGTGCATCATAAAAAACAGTGTTACTAACAAGGGGACAACTTTACTTTTGAAGTACAGATGTACTATTTACAAGAGCAAGATGCCTCATGAGGGAGTACTCATGTGGAGGGCTGAAATACTGACTTTGGGATTTTCATTAGTAGTCACTTATAGGGCTGAACGATCGATCGTTTTTGGCACACACACACACACGCACACTCTATCACTAAGCTCAACTCAACTACCTCAAAGCATGGAGCTGGACTTAAATATTAACCAGTTAATGCTTTATTTTTGCATGTTTACTGTTCCTTCACCACCTACATACTAAGTAAGTTTAGGGTTTTTTTCCTTTGCACTACCTACTGGGAGAGGTCATGTCATATTAGGTCAGTCTGTTCTGTCCTTAATTAGATAGTTTAGTGATTTCCCTGTTATTTTATGTTGTAAATTTATGTTGCATGTAGCACCTTGGTCCTGGAGGAACGTTGTTTCGCCTCACTGTGTACAAATCGTATATGGCTGAAGTGACAATAAAGTCCAATTGATTGATAGATTGATTGAAATCATGATTTCAAATAGCACGATCACGTGACCATCAAAGCTGCAGTTTTTGCAATTTTGACTGATCCAGGATCTGTTGTGTAACTTTTTTTTTAACACCCGGGGTAGGGATGTGAGAAAATGTCGATTATGGCAATATATCGTGATATTTTCCCCAGCGATATTAAATCGATATTCAAAAGCTGTACATCGAAAATATCAATATCGCAATATATCGTGATATTTTTTCCTGCAAAAATGCATCGATATTCAAAAGTCGTGTATCTAATTTCTGGAAGAATTTACATGGAAACATTTGTGTATTTTCTTTTCTTGTGGTGCAATTCAAACGCCGACCACTAGTTAGCAGCAGTGTGTAACGGGTTTTGTTTCTACCATTGAAATGTAAATCCCTCCGTTATGGTTAAATATGTTAAGTGTCAGTTTGGACTGTTTATTGAATTTTCCTATAATAAATTTAGTCTAAAAAATCGCCAATATCGTCTGACTGAATGTATCGCAATATATCGTGATATACTGTATCGTCTCCCTGTATCGTAATATGTATTGTATCACCAGAATTTCACCAATACACATCCCTAATCCGGGGTTTCCCCGTGTGTTACGGTGGCGGCAACAGCCAGCGCGGGGAGGGGGTGGGGTATACCGTCCAGAGCCGAGCCCAATTCCACAGCTGACAGAGTTGCAGGTTATTTTTCCACACAGCACTGCTAGAGCCGACAACAATGGCAACGTAGGTGAGTGGCAGAGAGAGAGACTCCTCTCACATCAGCAGGTTCAGGCTGATTTCTAGAGCTCGGTTTACGCTTCATCAGCGCGAGTGCGGAGTCGCGCACTTTAGGTGACTTGAAAGCTCAACTTCTCTTTTAAAATCGGTTTGAATTTTTCTGATGGAACACCTTAATTCAAACAGGCTAACGTGTCAGAGTGTCTCTTTCACTGCCTGTGCGTCTCTCTCACGGAGCTGACCGCAGCGTTAGCAAGGCTTTATAGCAGAGTTTAGGGAGGAAAAACATGCAGCCAGCCTGCCGTGGTGATGCGGGGAAAACTGTGAGCATGATTTGTAACACATTTGAAAGCTGTTTCTACCTTCAGATTTCCTCCTTGCATTTTTAGAGTAGAACAAGAACATGTTTTTTATAAAGCACCTCTCTAAATAAAAATCACAAGTTGCTTCACAAGCACATAAAAATAAATGTATTTATATAATAATGGGAGAAATTATTAATAGCTTTAACTGTTTCTATTGTATGATTAAAAAGTAAATATTAAAGCGAATGATTTGTTGTATTAAGATTAGAATCTAGACCATCTTTTCACTTCATCCACAGGATGGCTTGGCAGGCTAGTGTTGGACCTTAGGGGCTCGACACACGGGAGGCGACAGACGACCGCGATCAGCGAAATTCGTCGCTGTCGCTTTTATTACCTGACACACAGGAGGCGACGCGCGGCAGCGGCAAAGCCGTCTACGCGTTCTGTTCCATGGCGAAATCGAAACTTCTGTTGTTTTGATTGGCTGTGTCAGGTTGGAGGGAATTCAGGTTATTTAAGCGGTTCAGAGTTAATAAAGTGGTAGATATGATGTTTCACAAGGTGCTGCTGGAGTTATGTGAAATCTTACTTCTGATTTTACTATAAAACATAATAATAATCAACTTCTCCTCCATGTTTGCTCGGAGATGTACGGAGCATCCTGTCCGCTCATTGGTCAGTGAATGAAACCTCCGTTGATTGGTCCTCGTCCGAGCGACAGCGATGAAAAGTTGAAAATATTTCAACTTTGTGGGATCGCGTCGCTGGGTCGCCTGTGCACGACACGTGCGCTACATTTCACACGCACGTTTTTCGCGTTTCGCTTAGTAGGAGGGAGACCCGCGATTATCGCTTTGTCGTGCACGTCTCATTGAAAATGAATGGTGGAGAGGCGATGTCGCCTCCCGTGTGTCGAGCCCACTAGTTTGCGTAAAATCGTGAAATGAACTCAAATCGCAATTTCTGATAGAAAAATCGCAATTCTATCTTTCCCTAAAATCGTTCAGCCTTAGTCACTTATATTCATCATAATAAAGAAATAGACGTTGTGCGTAATGAATAAATCTAATATACAAGTTTCAGTTTGTGAATGTGGTTAGTGAAATAAATCAGCTTTGTCCTGATATTCTAATGTTATGACCAGCAGCTGCAGATAATATAAGAAACACGATGAGAGTTCTAGAATGGCTTTGCTTCAACGACGCAGCTGATGATTTTGTCCCGATGTCATTTGAATCAGGTCGATAAGTTTCCGTCTACAAAGAGCAGAAATTCTGTTGATGTTGCAGAAACATCTGGAATCAAACTCCGATGTGATGAAACTGCAAACAAACCCTTATTCATAAACTGTCTTAATCACATCTTAGTTTGTAGTTTATCATCATTTCAGCAGCACCCCCCTCCCCCAACCCCCCACACTTTCTGATTAACTGAAACTAAACTGTGACACTTCTTGATGCCCGACATCAGGAAGGTTTGGGTTGGATTATAACTCCTCTTTTGATTAGTTGGCAGTAAAATGAAATTATTTCACTAAAAGTCTTAAAGATGTGATGTTGAGTACCATTCCATGGAGGCGGGGTCCATTTTTTGTAGGCAGTGGGGTACATCCTGGCTCCGGCGAACTGCTCCATCCACTCAGGATCTGGCTGCCACTGCTTCTGCCTGTAAACAAACACCAGAAATGAGGTGAAAAAGCTGGATGTTGGGGCTTCATCAGGACGGCAGGTCCCTCTGAAAGAGACAGGACTCTTGACTTGGAAAACTCAAGGCCTGCGGATTGCAGAGGGCTTTAAATAATAATAATAATAATAATAATACATTTTATTTCAAAGCGCCTTTCAGGACACCCAAGGTCACTTTACACAAAACACGTAATAAAATACAATAAAACAATAATAAAACCCAAAGAAGAAAAAACAGAGAGAAACATTTCAATAAAATCAGAGGTTGTAGGCAGATTTAAACATATGTGTTTTGAGTTTTGATTGGAAAAGGGTAAAACTGTCGATGTTCCTGATGTCTGGGGGAAGTGAGTTCCAGAGTCGAGGAGCAGAGCGGCTGAAAGCTCTGCTCCCCATGGTAGCGAGACGGGCAGAAGGAACCGCAAGATGGATGGAAGAAGAAGATCTGAGTGAACGGGACGGGGTGTGAATACTTATAAGGTCTGAGATATATGGAGGAGAGAGGTTGTGGATTGCTTTGAATGTATGGAGGAGAATTTTGAAGATGGGCCTGAATTTAACTGGGAGCCAGTGGAGCTGCTGGAGAACCGGCGTGATGTGGTGAAAGGAAGGGGTTCTGGTGATAATACGGGCTGCTGAATTCTGGACCAGTTGCAGTTTATGAAGGAGTTTGTTGGGGAGACCATAAAGAAGTGAATTGCAATAGTCGAGACGGGAGGTGACGAGGCTGTGGACGAGAATGGCGGCAGTGTGAGGGGTCAGTGAGGGACGAAGACGGTTTATGGAACGTAGATGGAAGTATGCTGACCGAATTAAGTTATTAATGTGAGCCTGAAAAGAAAGGGAGCTGTCGAGAATGACACCCAGACTCTTGACATGAGGTGAGGGGGAGACTGTGGCACTGTCAATAGTTAAAGAAAAGCTGTCAGATGTTGAGAGGGTGGAGTTAGTGCCAACTAGAAGAAGTTCAGTTTTATTGCCGTTGAGTTTGAGGAAATTAGAGGTGAACCATGATTTGATTTCAGAGAGGCAGAGTGTAAGGGAGGATGGTGGGAGAGTTGAGTTGGGCTTACTGGAAATGTAGAGCTGGGTGTCATCTGCAAAGCAGTGAAACTGGATATTGAATTTGCGGAAGATTTTGCCGATAGGGAGGAGATATACTATGAAGAGGAGGGGCCCCAGGACAGAGCCCTGGGGCACACCTGACTTGACTGGGGAGGGTTCTGAGGTAAAGGATTTTAACTGGATGAACTGAGTGCGGCCAGTAAGGTAAGATTGAAACCAGCGGAGGGGGGTGTGAGTGATGCCTAAGGAATAGAGTCTATTAAGGAGGATGGGATGAGAAATGGTGTCAAAGGCCGCACTCAGATCGAGGAGAATAAGAATAGAGATTAAACCAGAATCAGCAGCAATGAGTAGGTCGTTAGTGATCTTGATGAGAGCTGTTTCTGTGCTGTGGTGGGGACGGAAGCCAGACTGAAACTGTTCATAAAGGTTATTGCGGGTGAGATGTGAATGGAGCTGAGATGCAACAGTTTTCTCAAGGACTTTGGAAATGAAGGGAAGATGGGAAATGGGACGGAGGTTATTGAAATCATTGGGATCTAAACCAGGTTTTTTTAGAATAGGGCTGACTGAAGCGGATTTGAATAGGGATGGGAATTTAAAGAGCAAGTCACCCCCAAAAGAACACCGAGTGTCTAAAGCCCTTTTCAGATTAGACATTCTGGAATGTGTGTGGACAATTCAATCCGGTTTTTAACCGGAACTGTGTTTTCAGACACACCACTTTTGTACCGGAACTTGTCCTTTCGGCTGCCTCCACACAGCAGGGAAACGTTCCAGATGTCTGAGGGAGAGGGGGGGTATCTGACTTATGTTAAACACAATTCTGCGCACACGAAGACGCATAAGAGACCTGGATGATGAAGCTCAAAGGTTAAAGGAATCACGGAAGCGGTGTGAAGCGCTTCGTCGCGCGTCTAGGAGACGGTACCGTAGGAGGCGAGCTGCTATGGTTCGCCGCATGCTACAGGAACGAGCTATATAGGTGCACACAGCGTCCCCCGGTCCCCTCCTCCTCCCTGTCCGGAACTCGACCTCACCAGTCTGAAGCAGCAACCTTGTCCGTAACAAGTCCGGACCTGTTACTAGGGGCGTCGTCCGGTTAAATTACGGAAAACGTTATCCAGATGTTTGTGTTCAGACACAAAGGTCTTGCGGACAGAGTCCGGAACATTTCCGTTTTTCATGGCCTGTCTGAAGGGGGCTTAATAGTGCTGTAGACTTGTGTCGTCATTATTTTGCCATTTTTACTGCATTTTATTTAAATTATAAATATTCCAAATATGCCAAAAGCTGTCAGTGTAGCATCCTCTTCAGGTAGGGCTGGGCGAAATGGCCTTTTGAGAATTTCACCTCGATAACGATAAATAAACGCTAGCTACAGGTATGTGCAGAAACAAAAGTTGTCCACTAGATGGGGCTGTCACATGCATTACCTTCAGTCACATTTTCACGTGACTCAAGGTGGTACAGCTTCTTAAAGGGGCCTACACACATCTAGTCATTTTTTTAATTATCAAATTTATCGACATGGGAAAAAAAATGTTGCCTTCTCCGGGTCAGGGATGAGGTCCTGGCCCAAGTGGCGGAGTTTAAGTATCTCGGGGTCTTGTTCACGAGTGATGGAGCGTGAGATTGATAGGCGGATTGGTGCTGCATCTGCAGTGATGCGGGCGTTATACCGGTCTGTCGTGGTGAAGAGAGAGCGGAGTCAGAAGGCAAAGCTCTCAATTTACCGGTCGATCTACGTTCCTACCCTCACCTATGGTCATGAGCTTTGGGTAGTGACCGAAAGAACAAGATCACGGATACAAGCGGCCGAAATGAGTTTTCTCTGAAGAGTGGCTGGGCTCTTCCTTAAGAGATAGGGTGAGAAGCTCGGTCATCCAGGAGGGGCTCAGAGTAGACCTGCTGCTCCTCCACGTCGAGAGGAGCCAGTTGAGGTGGCTCGGGCATCTGGTCAGGATGCCTCCTGGATGCTTCCCTGCCTGGTGAGGCTTTGCTCCAGTTGCTTTGCCTGAGTTAACCAAACTAGTTAACTCTATGAAGACCTCTGCATGTCCCCTCCACATCTTACCCTCATCTTTGTTTAAAAGTGCTTTTCAGTCCATCGGTCCCAGCGTGCTCTCTATAATTAATGCTTCTCTGGTCTCTGGTCAGGTCCCTGCTTACTTTAAGAACGCTGTAATCCACCCGCTTCTTAAAAAACCGAGTCTCGACCCCTCTCTCCATAGCAGCTTCAGACCCATCTCTAAACTTCCGTTCATCTCCAAGATCTTGGAGAATGTTGTGGCTAAACAACTCACAGCTGCTCTTGATGAACATAACATCTATGATAGCTTCCAGTCAGGTTTTCGTAGAGCTCATTCTACTGAAACAGCTCTTCTTAGGGTCTCTAATGACCTTCTGACCCACAGTGATGCAGGGGACTGTGCTGTTCTGGTCCTGCTGGACCTGACTGCAGCCTTTGACACTGTTGACCATCACCTGCTACTGGAGAGGCTGAGAGACTGGGTAGGCCTATCAGGATCTGCTCTGGAGTGGTTCTCCTCTTATCTCTCTGAGCGCTCCTTTTCTGTGGCCGTCTCCAAGTTTAGGTCCTCCACCACCTCCCTTACCCATGGTGTCCCACAAGGTTCTGTACTGGGGCCTCTGCTCTTCCTCCTCTATCTGCTTCCTCTTCAGCACATCCTGAGCTCCTTCAAAGGAATCCTAACATCTTTATGCAGATGACATCCAACTGTACATCTCCTTTAAGCCCCATGAGATGTCTAAGCTGCAGCTGTTACACACCTGCTTAGACTCTATCAAAACCTGGATGGTGGGAGCTTTCTTCAGCTGAATGAAGATAAGACTGAGATCCTCATCTGTGCCCCAGACAAGCTGGTTCCCAAAGTCAGAGACTCTCTTGGTCAGCTTGCTTCTCACACCAAACCTTCTGTCAGGAATCTTGGCGTGACCTTTGACCCAGCTCTCACCCTGGACTCTCATGTCAGTTCTCTTGTTTGCTCTTCCTTCTTCCATCTCAGGAATGTTGCTAAGCTGAGTCCCATTCTGTCCCGCTCTGAACTTGAGACAGTTCTCCACACCTTCATCTCCTCACGCTTAGACTACTGTAACTCTCTTTTCACGTGTCTGAGCAGAACCTCCCTGAACCGTCTACAGGTGGTTCAGAACGCCTGTGCTCGGCTTCTGACCAAGTCCTCCAAACACACCCACATCACCCCGCTTCTCCTCCAGCTTCACTGGCTGCCAGTCAACTTCAGGGTTCATTTCAAGATCCTGGTTCTGGTCTATAGGGCCTTACATGGACAAGCACCATCTCACATTGGTGCTCTTCTTAGTCCCTACACCCCCAGCAGGTCCCTGAGGTCCAGTGAACAAAGCCTACTGGTTGTGCAGCACCTGGCTAAAGGTCAAAGGTGACAGATCATCTGCTGCTGTGGCCCCCAGACTCTGGAACTCTCTCCCCTTGAGCCTGAGATCAGTGGACTCAGTGGTCTCCTTTAAAAAGCAGCTGAAGACTCACTTGTTCAAGCTGGCTTTTGTATGACCTTCTTCACCACTCTCTCTTTATTCTGCTCTCCCCACCTATTCCACCTTCCTCAGGATCCACTGATTTCCCTCTTTCCTGTTCACTCTCTCTCTTTAACATTTTTTAATCACAATTGTCTATTTTTTGCTCATTTTAAATATATTTGTAACCATTTTCTAAATTATTTTTTATATTTTTACATTTTTTGTTTTTGTGATTTTTATCTTGAGAGGCGCTATAGAAATGATATTTTCTTCTTCTTTTAGACACGTAAATAAGCGTCTATATTAACCCTCTTCTTTCACATTTACGTAACAGCAAAAATACCGTCAATATGCCAGTCCTCTGGTTTAATGTAAGTGTTGCTGTTATAATTAGTACTTACAGGTATCTACCATCCTGGCAGAGGTGTAAGCGGTCAGTTTGACAGAGAAGATAGGTTTATGTTAGCATTAGCACTAGCTAAAATGGATCAAGCTAACGGAGAAAACAAGAGGGACGCAAAGCTCCGCAATTGTTTTTGTTTTCATACCTGTTCTGCAGCAGCGAACAGCCAGGACTCAGAGCGCTGTTGTTTAATATTAGTTTAGTTGAAGGACGTCCGAGGCAGGAAAGCGACCTCAACATTATCGCCGCCATCTTGGCTGTCGGACAACTCTGACCATTCTTGTTCGGGGTTTTCTGATCCTCTACCCTTGTACAGCTCAGTGCTGCCACCAGCTGGTGCAAACGTTAAACACGCTTTCCTGACGGTTCTGAATATGTAAATAAATAAAAAAAACGAAACCCAGCATGTGTCGTTTCAACAAATAAAAATGTTCAGGGTTTAAAAAAACGTGGGAATGAAGGAAAACAGATATTAGTTTGTTGAGTTTAGCTGTTTAAAGTTAAAGTCCCAAATCGTCATCACACACTGGTGTGTAATCCCTGCATTTGATCCATCCCCCTAAAGCTGAGTGTCAAGCAGGGAGGCATTGGGTGTCATTTTAAAAGACTTTGGTACGACCCAACCAGGAATCAAACCTCGAACTCCCATTCTCAGGGCGGACACTCCACCACTAGGCCACAGAGCTGGTTTTAAGCTAGTTTTCTAACTACCTGGTAAAGATGCCACCACTTGGTTTCAGAGCACCCAGGTTGATTAAAGAACCATGATCTAGAGGTGTTTCAGTTCTCCTGACCCTGGGGTCGATCCGAGTCACCGCAGATATGCTGAGAACACCTGAGAATCACACAGAACTGGTGGAAATGTTTGAGCTTCCCTAGCTGGGCTGCTGCCCTGCCCCTGTGTGACCTGGGAAACATTAAAGGGATAGTTCAGATGTTTTAAAGTCGGTTTCTGTGAAAAGGGGTTGAGTGATAATGCTTCTTTGTAGGCTGGACATAAAAATTATATCAGGCCAGAAATGGTCTGCAGGCCCTACTTTGGACACTTCTGCTTTAATAAAGACCAGAAGCTGTCCTTTTTATGCAGTCTGGCTGTAAACAAACAAACAAAAAGCGAGATTTCCCGAAGTCAGCTGGAACCCGGGCCTCGGCTGTATAAAAATCACAGAAACAAGCAGAGCTTTGTATAAAAAACAGTGCTTTTATTTATGTAATACTGTGGAAAAATAATTACATACCATTTTTAAAAAATATTGAAGATAATGAAATTAAAAAATGAGAGTTTGATAATGTTCGTTGTATGTCTTTTGAACAGCTGTCTCTGCTACAAACAGTACAATAAGATAAACATCGGATTCTTCTAAATTCAAAGACACAATAATACAGGATTACAGTCCTACCAGAGGTATAAAAGTACTGTAACAGGATTGTGATGGACGTAAGCTGGAACACAGAGGTAACACACACACACACACACACACACACACACACACACACACACACACACACACACACACACACGCACACTTCTATACAAACACTCTGTACAAATTGATGCACACCCACCTGCTCCTTCTTGATATTTCGCTCTGTCTCATTCACACACACACACACTCACACACACACACACACACACACACACTCACGCACACATGCATGCACGTACCCGTGCACACATGCATGCACTCACGCACACACAAACGCACACGTGTGCACAGACGCACATACCTGCATACACACACACACACTACTACATATCAATACTGTAGACAAGCCTTCATTAAACCTCCATGCAAATTCTCCTCTGGCCGTTTCTGCAGACAAGACAACGAGGAATGGTTCAAACTGGAAATGTACGGTAAGTTCCTCCATAAGGCCGCTCTACACCCACCGTGCGAGTCTCTCTCCCTCTCTCTGTGCCTGTCGGCATCGGGCTGCTCGTTAGGAGCTCAGAGAGGAATCCTCCCAGACGAGCCGGCTTCTCCATCAACATCTGCCAATAGAAGGAGCTCCTACTGCATATACATGATCTAAGGTGAGGGACAACATGGACGCTTGGCACTAGGTTTGTTCAGTTTTTACAAAAATGTGAACCCGTATCCAGGTTCTGACGTTGGCACCGTTCCCCGCTCCATCATGTGAGCTCAAACGTTTGGTCCGCGACACACACGACATGTTTCACATCAACAAAAATAATTCTGTAATGATAAAAATAGAATACAAAGCTCTAGTCTGGTGTGCAAATAAACAGAGGACAGAACAGACGTTTAAGAGACTTCAAAGCATGAAAACTGGAGATGAAGTGCAAAATGACGCCAACCCTCCCAGCCCCGCCCCCCAACCCCAACAGGCCCCACCGTACTGTACACAAGGGCATTCTGGGATACTATATACTGTATATGTGCTCTATGATCACTGAATAAGTCGACCAGCTAAAAGAAAATTACAAATGTTGGCCAGAAATGGCGTCCACTGGCTGAGGTTTCCTCCGATCAGCACGTCAGATTCGTTTTACAATGTTGGTTGGTTGAAAAGGCGAAGGTTTCCACGGATCCAGGATGCCTCGTCCCCACTCGGATTCTTGCTCTGTTCTCCAGTCCTGATTGTGACTTGCGCCGTTTGCTCTCTCAGAGCTCGGAACGTCGGGAATGAGGGAATTTCCTGTATGCCTTCATTTCCACCCTGTTTTTATTTGATTTTCTTCCTCCTCCCTGTCTCATGGGCTTCTGACTTTGTGCAGATGTTCTTCTGTGTTAGGTCACTGTGTTAGCATGTGGGTGTGTGTGAGTACATTTAAAGTGTGTGTGTGTGTGTGTGTGTGTGTTTATGTCTACCAGGCCTCCTAATGCTCAGACTGTGAGGTGGTTCTGATTCTGTCTCACACGTGGGTCTGCATTCTTTGTGTGTGTCGGCTGTGGGAGTAGTCAGAGTGCTGCGAGGTGTAGGAGAAGCGAGTGGAGCTGCCGTACTTCCCGAGTCCAGGCTCCGATCCTGAAGGAGCTGGACCTGGAACCGGACCCCCTGGACCGACCCCGACCCCGGGGCTGCCAACCCCAGCTGGCACTCCATAGATTTCATAGGAGGGTCCAGCCTCCAGGGGAGCCAGGCTGGACGGAGCAAAGCCCATGCGGTAGGTCTGGTAGTGGGAGGGGTATCCGTAGTTGTCATAGGCCAGCTGGGAGGTGGAGTCCAGGAGGCTACAGTCTCCAGGGAAGTCACTGGTTCCAGGGGTGGGGTTAGCGGCGGGCTGCTGGTTTTGACCCCCACGAGTGAAGGTGTTGAACTGGGCGTAGCTGATGTGGGATAGTCTGGACGGAGGCCGGGGGTCGTAGCAGGCTTGTGGGCGTCCAGGGGAGGTGAGGGGCCCAGGAGGACCGGGGGCTCCTCCGCTTACAGTGGCCCCCGAGCCTCCAGTGCTGCTGCTGATAGAAGCCGCGCCCCCAGGTGTTCCGCCAGGAGAACGGTAGTCAGAGTAGTGGATGGTGGAGCGGGACCCAGGAAGAACTTCATCCTGAGTGGAGGCTCGCACGTTGTAGTACCCGTTGGTGGGGTCCTGGGGGCACAAAGCAGGTCGGTTTTAAGAACAGGTGTAACACGGTCACCCTAATGGTAAATTCAGTCCGTCTGCAGTCTCTTTCTGAGTAAAAGTTATAACCTGGTGGTTCCTGAAGAGCCTCAGTTCAGAGAAACAGAGTTTACACACTACAGGACAGATGAGCCATGGACTCAGAGCAAAGCTCCAATATCCTAACTTTAGTAGCTCATTTTAAAAACATGAACACTGCTCTCACTGTTCCAATAAAGGATTATTTACCCAGAACTCAGTAGTTCTCAGCTGTCTGGCAGCCGTAGTAAGATCAGAAACAACCCCCACGGCATCAAAGCTACGCGCCACCATTAAAGTAGAAATCCTGATTTTATGTCAGAGGTCACCATCTAGAGGAAGGCTCTGGTGCACTTGTTTCACGACCTCCCAGAGAATGCTCTGGAATCTTATTTCCTGATGTTTGGAGATCTCTCCTCTGATTGGATAACAGCAATACGACTTAACCACCGACTCCATTTTCTTTGCAACACTGATGTTTTATCTCCAGGAAGAAGATAAGCCTGGAGGAGTTCTGCTGTGCGGTGAAGTTGCTAATGCTAATGTTAGCTGATGCTAGCCGAGATGTTCTCTGCTTTTTCCTGGACGCTAAACCAACATCAGCTTCCCCCGTCGTGAGTCCAGATGGGTGAGTCCATGAATGTTGAGTGACAGTGTAACGTAGATCTGTCAGGATTTTCTAATCCTAGAGTTTCACCGTCTGTTTTCCATAAGAAGCTAATGCAGGAGTAGCGATGGGTACCGAATTCGGTACTTTTTAAGGTACAGACCGAATTACACAGTACCGACTGAGCACCGATTCACATCATTTGAAACGGTGCCTCGTTTCGGTACCCGTCCTTCATAATGAGAACTTGCCTAGACAGCTGCGCATGCGCAAGAGCGTTATGTCGTCGGTCGCTGCGAGCCAGTTGTAAACAGAGCAGCATGGTAGAAAGAACGCACGCTAAAGCTTGGGTCCACTTCACTAAATGTGATGGGTAACTGGGTGATGATGAAACCAGCGACAACGATCTAAGTGAGACATCCTCATCTTAATCTGCTCCGGTAGGTAAATATAATTAGCTTGATATGTTAGCTTCCGTTCCGCTAATGGTGCGTTCGCTTTCTCCTCGGAAATTCTAACTTCCCAGTAGGAAAAATCAAAGAAAAAAAGACGGCAAAAGGAATGAAGATACACAGTAAATTTAGTTCACAGTAAAGATGTTTGCTTCAGTTTAATTATCAGCTTATAAAACTACAAGGACGATGTTAAAATACAAACAGTTGAATGTTATTTATCGTGATATTTATCAAATATGGTTATATATTGAGAAAAATATATATTTAATTATAAAAGAGAATTAAAATATAAACCACTCAAAAGTACCAAAAATTGGTGCCGTTAAGTACCGGTATCGATTCCTAGGTACCGGGAATTGGTACCGAATCGATTCAAATGTCAAAGGTACCCGTCCCTATGCAGGAGATAGGTGTAGGAGACTATTCTCATGTTCAGCCTGCATGAAACACTCAGAGTGACTCGTTAGAATCAGAATAATAATGAAAAATTGGGTTTTCAGTGTTCCACACCTTTAAAGAAACTGTGTCTAACTTCTAATCATTTTTTTGTGGAAGCAGATATTTGGAGACGTTCAGCACATGAACCAGTCGACGTGAGGCTGCCTCTGTGCGGTGTCTGGTGTGAAACAGGTGTTGTACAGGAACATTGCCAGGTGGCCAACTCCAAACCAGAAGCTGAACAAAGTCTTTTATACTCGATGAATTAAAACAACTCGTTTCTGTGTTTGAGACGAACCCTCAGAGTTCGTAAGTCAGATTCCCACACAAAGCTAATTCTGTTTCCTCCGCAGGGTCAGCTCATAAAGCTTTAAAGCTCATGAATTAATCATTTTGTGCAGTTTTGTCATCTCTGCGATTAAAGCTCCGAGGATGTTTGCTTCGAACTCAGGTGAGTCGACCATGACCTCCCAGGGAACGCTCTGCACGGGCTTCCTGTCTCGTTGTCTTTCTCCCGTCCAGCTTTGCTGTTCTGGTGCTTCAGGCAGCCGGGAGGAAAAACCAAACAAGACGTCTGGCTGAGGTGAGATCTAACTGGGGAGGATTCACGTCTGCTGCTTCAAAGTGTTTACGGGTCGGGCTGCCCTCCCAGATTATTCATGGGAGAGAGTAGTGATCGTAGGAGGGTGGGGGCGCCGTTTTAGAGCAACACTTTGGCAGTTTTGCAAGTGAAAATGCTTCGTAACCCCCCCGGTGTCAAAACACACAAATGATTCATGCCAGCACAATGGGCATCGAGTATTTCTGCCTCCTTTTACCAACTCTCTGTCATCAGCTGATACGGCGGCAGGATCTCACCTTCAGATCGTACTCCTGACGGGTGTCCAGGGTGTCGCTGCGGAGGTCAGACTTCAGCTCTATGTCGTCTTTAAAAGGCTGATTAGAGGGAGAGAAGGACACAGAAGGGAGAAACTAAAGCATCAAACAACAAAAAGAAAAAGAAAAGGACAAAACAGAAGTGGGAAGGAGCAAACGGAGTGTGAGAGACAAAGAGAAAATGGAGTTAAGAGTTAAAAAGGAGGAAGTTGGTGTTTGCTGCAGGTATAAAGGTGCTGTGAGGTAAGCGGAGAGAGGTCGGTCTCACCGAGTACATGGCCTTGACCATGCGCGAAGCTGTGGACACGCTGCCGGAGTCCTCCTCTAAGCTGTGGGTCTCCTTGTTTATGGTCTCCACCTTGATGTCCGGTTTACCCAGCGTGACCCCGCGGCGGCCTGAAAACAAATCAGAGCGAGGGTAAATGTAACCGGATACACGTTTGTTTTCAGCCCGAGTGTTTTCTGAGCTGCGGGAGCAAACTCATCCACCGGGCTGAGAGGAAGATGATCTATTTGGTTTGGAAAATCTCGTGTGAAGAATTTAAAATGCCTTTGAGAGGATCGTTTTTACCAGAGAGTAGGACTTACTGCCTTTGCGCTGGCGGTACAAGACCAGGACGAGGACCAGCAGAAAGAAGAACAGGAGGATGGTGGAGCCCACCGTCCCCCCGGCTATTAGCCCAACAGGAACCTCCTCTGTAACGGCAGGGTGGAGAAAAGTAGACACCTCAGCAGGAATCACAACCAAGCTAGGATGTTTAATATAATAGTCGCTGACAGGACAGCTCGTTTAGGGAGGAAGGGTTTCCAACAGGTGCGCAGTTAGGGTGGGGGACGGGGGGTATCTGTCCCCCCCAGATTCAGATCGACCCCGATCCGCCCCCCCCCAACTACGGCCAGAAAGAAAACAAAATCGGAGGTTAAGCGCTTGAAGCTCCTTTTTCCAATTACACTGAATGCAGCATGACGTAAACAAACACCGACTCCAGAGGCGCCAAAGTGGTTGCTGCTAGGACGCAGGATGAAGCAACGATTACTGCGTATTTAAAAAAGACCGACAGTGTAAGTAGGCGGGACCGATCTGTCCGTTTATGCGTGTTGGTTCTAGTTTCAGTACGTTGTTGTCGGTGTTGGGACTTACTCGTTATAAGCGCCAAAGCCTCATTGCTGACTTTAACAAGTCTCATCTACAAATATGATCCTCATGAAGTCACTACTTTACACCAGAAGATAGTGGAGATGTGTGTCCAGGGTGTACTCTGCCCTGAATACGCTTCATATGTAGCTTCAGATTAAAATTATGTGGTACAAGACAAATATATATGATGCTGACTAGTGCGTGTGTGTGTGTGTGTGTGTGTGTGTCACGCGTGTGTGTTAAGCCCCGGATCTTCTTCAGTCCTAAATCCGCCCCGGGTCCTGACGGTCCTTGATGCAATCAGCTGGGTTCCTTACGTAGGAAACTTCAGACTAATTGGCTTAACGAACTGACCTGCATTGGAATGTTTTACTTTGTGAAGTGGCTTGAGACGACTCTTGCCGTGATTCGGCGCTGAGTAAATAAACCGAACTGAACTGAATTGCCATCACAGGCGGAACAATGAAATGAACATTACAGCAGCACACGCCGAAGGAAACTGGACATCTGTCCGTGGACTCCTGCGAGACAACGATCCCAACCACACGAGGCCTTCAACCACAGAAGACCTTTAAGGACAATTAAAGTGTTTGTTTTGGACCGAAGGCCAAATCCCGTTACTGATCTCTGATGTGATGGGAGGACCTGAAGCGAGCAGCTCATACAAGGAACCGCACCAGCGTCCCTGTTCTGTAAGGAGGAACAATCCGATGTTCTGGACTGATCAACAGTCACCAACAACAGAAGGGACTCACAGCAGATGAGAGGTTCTCACACATCCCACAAACGATTTGTCCCGAAACACTCACTCACCAGTCTCCTCCAGCGCGATGATCATGGTTCCCGGGCCGAAGGAGTTCCAGGCCGTGCAGTTGTACGTGGACAGGAAGTCTGACTCCATCACGTTGTTGATGGTGAGGGTGGAGAGCACGCCGCCGCCCTCGGCGGATGATTTGCTCTGCTCCACCGTGTACCTCTCCAGCAGCGTCCCCTTCTCCTTCTCCCACACGTTCTCCTTCCACGCCCACACCTGCAGCACACAGGGAACCGGACCAGCCGGTGTTTAAAGCGTCGTTCCTCAGACCTGTTTGGACCGGTCTAGAGTCTTGGTACGCGCTCGTCTGATAGCTCCAAGCAGCTACAGCGGTGTGAAACATTCAGAGGTTAATTATATCCTGACATCAGGTCCCAGATTCAGAACCCTTTGGTCCGACACTCAAGTGTGAAACACTAACGTGAGTCGTGACGGCCTCCATGTTTTACTGATTTCTGTGTTTGAACTACTTTAATCATGACGTTGTTTTTCTGAGCAGACATTTTCCTCATTTCTGTACGGTGATAATCTCCTCCTGGCAGAAACCTAAAGACTTTACGGCTGCCATAACCAAAAGAGCCTTTCCCTTCTCAGAAACGTTTGTACTCACCCCGTTCTGGTTCTGAACATTTCTCTGCATCGTCGTGTTTGTTATTGGCTCTGAGCGACTGGTTTACCTCCAGATCAGCTGCAGCGAGACACCTGGGCTCACTGGGCTGAAGGAGCTCCCGTCGCTCAGCGCCGGCTAGCGGTGACTTTTAAAAGCTGCTTCTAAAATCTATTTCAGCAGTTCCTGTCTTGATGTTTTTATCGTTTGTGTTTCCTTTTTACACGATTCATTTGTAAAGTGCTTTCCTTTATTCAGGTGCTCTCACACTGCCAGTGATGCTAAGCTGTGTAGCAGCCTCTCTGGGGCTGTCGTGGTGCCGGAGAGCAGCCCTGCTGCGGTCTGAGACCTACAGGACGTCGGATGATTCCTCGTTAGGGTATACGACATTCTGTCGCTATCTTTGTGCGTGTTTGTTTGTACCTCTAGTGATTGCTATTTCCTACAGCAGATATCACTCTGCATCATGGACGTAATTTTCACTTTGGAAGTGGGGGGGACACGGGGAGGGGGGTGATCTTTACAGTATGCTCTAATGGGAAACAGGCTTCAACACAAATGGTTGTTTTCCGCTTGGTCCTAGAGCTCAACCAGTGTCAATTTAATATAAAGTAATATTGTTTTTGGATGGTAAAAAGTGCAGGAGTCAAAACTTGAATTTGGAAAAAGTGGGGGGGGGGGGGGGGGGGGCATGTCCCCCCTGTCCCCCCCCCAAAATTACGTCCATGCTCTGCTCATCTCTCGATTAATGTTTGGACTCCTCATCGTCTTCATTCCTCGTCTCCAAGGCTTGGACCCTGATTTGAGCTCCTCGCCACCTCAGGCCAGACCTACCCTCTCCTCTGCATCTACACCTCTCGTCCATAAAGTAAGACAGGGTATCTGCAGGTTTAAGGGAGCCAAATTTAAGACTTTTTAAGACCTTTTTTAAGGCCATTTTGACCAAATTTAAGCTATTTTTAAAATTAAATGTAAGCTATAATTTCCAGCAATAGCCTGGAGCCGGTGCTAACCACGTCGCGAACGTGGGGATTAGCCATCCAGTTACCGTTAAACCTCCCCATGGCGCGAGCTCCCGCTAGCTAAACCAGCTAATGTGCTCATCTAAAAATAGCCCCCTTTCACAACCAACTGCATGTGTACGGTTCCGCTTACGCCAACGTCGTACACAACAAATGCTGAACTAACTAGAAATTCACGAAATTTTTATAGAAATAAAAGAATCTTGTTTTTTGTGTCTTTGGTAATTTAAGACATTTGGAAACTGTATTTAAGGATTATTTGTCATTTTTAAGGATTTTTAAGGCCTTAAATCTGGAAAAGCTAATTTAAGACTTTTTAAAGAGCAAGTCAATCCCAAATAAACTTTTTTTTGCTGATAAACTAAATAAACGAGTGTCTAATCGTGCTGCAGACACGTGTCGTCAATAATTTGGCACTTCAGTGCATCTTAGTTTCAAATTTAAATATTCTGCCTAAAACTGGCAGAGTTGTGCCGTTGTCAGGTAAAAACTCTGCACTGTATTCTAATTTATGTTTATGTTTATGTGCTTAGCAGACGCTTTTACCCAAAGCGACTTACAACAATTATTTTTTAACCTATAGGGCATGTTGTGATCTGTGGGGGAAACCGGAGTACCCGGAGAAAACCCACGCATGCACGGGGAGAACACGCAACTCCACGCAGAAAGGCGAGTTTTGAACCTGCGACCTTCGTGCTGCGAGGCAACAGTGCTAGCCACTGCGCCACCATGCAATTTAAATCTGCCACCGCTATTGGCTAAGAGGTATGCTACGATGTAAACTGGTACATTATGATGTCACAATGTTGTCGTGAGCCTGTGTGTGTGTGTGTTTGTTAGCAGCCCCGCCCTCTCGGTCTGCCAGGCAACAGCATTTGTTGCATTTTTCAAACAGGAAGAGGGAGTGGAGTTAGACTCTGGTAGGGGGTGACTTGCTCTTTAAGGACCCGTGGACACCCTGCTAGGACTGCATCAGTTTGCACCATTTACTCTCCCCCGCCGTCAGACTCTGCCCCCGTACATCAGAGCTTCCTCGAGAGCGCCTCACCTGTCATCACCTCGTTTAATAAATATTATTACTGTTTCTTACCTTTGTCTCCCGGCTCTGATTCTGCATGTGGGTTAGAATATGAAACGCTAACATGACGGGGGCGGTCTGACAGAGGTAAGGCTGCCATTTGCACCGTCAGCCTCTCCAACCCCCACCAACATAAGCCAGTTGGGTGAAGCGTCTTGCCCGAGGACACGACGGCGGTGTACCCTGGCAGGAGCTGGGATGGATACTGCGATCATGAGGCAGCCCGCTCTACCCCCTGAGCTACTGCTGCCCCCCAGTTACCCAGGCTGTTCTCGGTTCCTTTGGCTGATTTAATGGTACGGTTGTTTTTTATGAGACTCTGCTGCAGTAACTGTGGGTCGGATGTTTTTGCGTCGCACCAAATGACTCCAGGAACAGTTTCTTGTATCTTGAGATGCGAGTTCCAGTTTCCTCTGAGCGGCTTTTCATCACGTTTCTTTCTGAGACGTCTTGTGTCGTCACCGGCAACTACAGTGGTTACAGAGTGATGGGGGGCGGGGGCTTGGGAGGAGTTGGAGACTAGACTAAATAAAATGAGGATTTCTGAATAAGTGAGGACTAAACGATGTCTAATGGGAGCGGGCCAGGTTTTACATTTGAAATTTGCCACTAAAGTGTCCAATGCTCACAGAGAGGTCCTGCTTTGGTGAAGACACTAAAATATTTGTGTTTACGTGAATTTCTGCTCATAATTGCACTGATTTATTTAAGGTGTTGTTAAACACCGAAGGCCTTTTTACTACTCCTCTGCAGGCGTCCATACAACTGAACAAAGGCAAAGGATGTACAGACGGAGACTTAAAAATTGCTTCAAGGTAAAGAAGGATGCAGATCTGCGTGTAGCTGGTAGAAGTCGGTGCTAGCTTCACGTGTTCTCTGCTGACTTCCTGACAGCAGCAACAGGTAGCATGTCAGCGGGTCACTGAGGCGGTGACGTTACGCGTTCTCCACCTTTAGAGCCTCTAAAAGCAGCTTTGTTATTCAGTGCAGGACTTCGGTAGTAGGGTGAGTCAATTATGCATCAGGCCACATGTTCCTTTAATCCGCCTGCTTACTGGAGACACGCAGTGTCTGCTGGCTGTGGAGTTTACTGGAACAAAGGCTCCTGCGGTTCCTTTATATTTTATAAATCTTTGTGTCCCAGTGTTCGCCGCCTGCATTAAGGAGCGCGCTGCGAGTCGGGACGGATCAACAGGACCACTGCGTTCTGTCTGAGCTGTGCGCTGATGCAGAGCTAAAAGCTAACCGGCTTTGGTTTGTTTACGTGACAGGATGGAGGAACGTTCTCAGGGAGTTTCAGGATGAGTCACAACTCCATAAAAAAGGAAAAAGGGATGGTGCCTATTAGTCAGGGACAGAAATGGCTGTTTTCCTAAAAGCTACAACCTTGTGCTCTTTATGACCAAAGCTTTCTCTTGTCTGGAGTCATTCTGCCCTGAATTATTCACACGCTGATCAAAACTGGAAGTTTCCTCTTAAAGTTAACAGACATGCTTCATGTGGTCTTTGCACTCACTATCTTATCTGGAGGGGGTGTGCTGGCAATGTAGCACTTCACCTCCCCTTTCTCCCCCCTCACAGCATACTGGACAGGCTCGCTGGAGATGATGGGTGGACCTAGAGGAGCAGGAATCAGACAAAAGAGATCAAAAGAATCAATGTAAAAAGTCATTATTATTATTATTATTATTATTATTATTATTATTATTATTATTGTTGTTGTATTACTACTACTACTACTATTATTATTATTGTTATTATTATTATTACTACTACTACTACTACTACTACAACTAGTACAATTATTATTATTATATTACTATTATTATTATTATTATTTGTATTATTATTATATTACTACTATTATTATTATTGTTATTATTATTATTACTACTACTACTACTATTTTTATTGTTATTAATATTATTATTACTATAATAATAATAATAATAATAATTATTATTATTATTATTATTACTATTATTATTATTATTATTGTTATTATTATTATTGCTACTACTACTATTATTATTATTATTATTACTATTATTATTATTATTGTTATTATTATTGTTGTTGTTATAATAATAATTATTATTATTATTATTACTACTACATATATTAGTATTAATATAATTACTACTACTACTAATAATAATAACATTATATCTCATGGTAATAATAATAATTTCTAAGTCCACAGGAGGTCGGCTGTGATAATCAATGTGGCGTGAGTGTAATACAAATTTCCTTTTCATAATAAAATCAAATATTATTGATTAATATTCTACTTTCGGCCCCGATCTGCTCTGCTAACAAAATGATCACTACAGTAAAAAGTGGTGCCTAGCTCTTCAAAAGCTCTTCCACCAGAGTGATGAGGGATATCATTTACGAGGGACTAAAACTTTTAAAATGCCGAGGGTAAGAACCACTAAGAGGAGTTTCTGTGTATCAGTATGTGGAGTGAAACTGTGGAATGGGCTGCAGGAAATACGCAAACATTGTCCAAATATAAACAAATTTAAATCACTGTATTAAAAAATGATAATTAATGGATATGAAAATGAGGTTCTCTGAGGTTCTGAAAACTATGATATTGTCATTATTATTTTGCTGTTGTTTATGTTATTATTGTTGTTATTATTATTATTACTATCACTAGTACCCTAAAATGTTCATGCAAAATGCTCTCATTAGTAGCTGCATATATATATTAATATGTATATATGTATGTATGTACGTACGTACGTACGTGCATACATATTACTACTTATGTATGTATGTATGTATGTATGTATGTATGTATGTATGTATGTATGTATGTATGTATGTATGTATGTATGTATGTATGTATGTATGTATGTGTGTATGTATGTATGTATGTATGTATGTACGTATGTATATGTGTATTTATGTATGTATGTATGTATGTATGTATGTATGTATGTATGTATGTATGTATGTATGTATGTATGTACGTACGTATATATGTATGTATGTATGTATGTATGTATGTAGGTACGTACGTATATGTGTATTTATGTACGTATGTATGTAGGTAGGTAGGTATAGATGGTAAGTTGTAAAGTAAATTAGTAATGTAAGACAAGGGGGTGGGATTGAATAAGCACTTGCTTCTTCTTACTCCCTTTGGACAAAGACTTCTTTTTTATTGGTATATCTTTTCTTTTCTACTATGTTCATTGATTTTTATTTATTTATTTTTTTAAATATTTTGTCTTATGTTCAAATAAATGTTTCAATCAATCAATCAATATGTACCGTATTTCAGTTTTTACAGTTTGAAGAACAATTGTCATGGTATCGATAAAGTTTGCATCACAGCCTTTCTGCTTCTGGATCCAGAAGTTTGTAAGAAGCCAAGTTTGACTCAGCCTATACAGAAAGTTAGGCCGAGGCTACATCATCACTCCTTATATGGTCATGGTCTCCGAGTGGACCCTGTTTCATGAATAGATTTGCAAAGATTTGTAGAACCATGTTACCATGGTAACCTGCACATTAAAGAACTGATGAAGGTGACTGACTTGGATGGGGTGAGGGTTTCTAATCTCTGAGGGCAGAAGATGAAGAATGTTTTCTGACCATTGACTGTGAGCGTGACCTCCGTCTCTCCAACGCCGATTCGCGGTACGATGGCCTTGCACACGTACTGACCAGCATCCACCTGGGTCACTGACTTCAGATGCAGCTGGTTGCTGTTACTCAGAACCTGTAGTGGAATAAAAACACAAATGTAAACACGGAGGAGAAGTCTCGTTTGTTTCAGACTGACCCTATCTGGCTGCCCATGCAAACATCAGCTTTTAACCCATCAAGAGGGCTTTGGAGTTGCCTAGCAACCACATCAATCAGAAACTAAACCGTGAGGAAATGATGGTTAAATATGTAGCCACCTAGAGAGAAGAACACCTGATTATACAGACGTGGGAGTTGATGAGTTGGGACTTATTTAGAAAATGTGGAGCGAAGCAGGCTTTATTTGCCTTCTTGCTTTTTAGCTGAAAGGAGAAAACTGCACCACACCAAACCGTAACACTAAAACCACGTGGAGGGCTGCAGATCAGGAAGAAGAGCCCCTCTGTGGTCTTCCAGGTTCCAAATTAAAGCTAAAATATTGAGAATAAATTCCAAATCCTTTCTCAAGCCCAAAAATTCTACTTTATTCTGGAAATGTTAAACAAAATAAACATTTGTTCATTTAATTAGACTTTCTGACGCGAGTGTTTGTGAGCCAAACGTTGCAGACTAACTCGTCTCAGTTCAGACGAGTGGAAAGGATTCATCCTCCCGTCAGACTCAGAATTATGTTTGAAGCTGAGATTTTCTTTTGTTTGATCGTTTTTTGATTTGAGATTTTTTCACCTCCACACGGGCCTCTTTATTAGCTGCAGCTGTTGTTAATACAAACATCCCCAGGTGCAGCACTAATGGAAGCTCACTGATTGGTCAAACGCAGAGAAAATTTTAAATAAAATAAAATATCTAATGAGCCGATCACATGGGCGCACTCATTCATCCAGAGGTAGTGAAGGCAACCTCCAGAAGTGCTGAGTCATCTGTTATGACTGACTGAACCACTGTAAATATTACTGCTTTTTAGTCTCATTAAAATCTGAAACTTCACTTCCGGCTCTCGGAGGGTGCAGACGCTTTTTTCCTCCTCTCCTCCATATCTTATCCTCAAGGCCTTTGTCTGTCTCTGGGTGCACGGCTGCTTCTGCATTTTTCTGGAAAATGGAAACTGAAATATACTAAAATGGATCTCGTCAGTTGGTCTCTCAACGCGATTGATAACATTTTTTCAACGATGAGAACGGGAGAAGGGGCTCCCGGATGCCCCTCCGGGACAGACCCAGTTGGACACATCATGGACTCCTGGAAACAGTGGAACTTGATTTGTTTAACTCAGCTGTCTGTGGAGGGCTCTGAAGACGTGTGGATATTCGTGGTGTTGGTGTCAGGTTTCCTGCTCATTGGCCTTGGAGGCTACCTGGCTTACCGGAAAATTAACGAGGTGTCGAGGAATATTGGCCTGATCCCGGAGCTCAGAGATGGTTTGCACCGCGCTGTGAATTCACAGACTCACATAACTGTCGAGATGAATCGTAAGCTTGGGACTTTGGCGGAGATTCATTCTTTGGCACAAAAGATGGATGCCAACAAGGAGAGAGTGGACGAATCAGCACGGATTGGGATAGATTAATGTCCATTATTGGGATTTTGAGAGGTTGAGGACCAAGGAACTGTAAGACAGAGAGGAAATTATCTCTGTCTGGCCCCAAAACAATTTCTAATTGGAATCTGGCGCCCTTGAGCCTGCAAGGCTCCAACGAAAACTCCCCCCTCAGAAGATATGTGGAATGTGCCGTCGCTATGGCAACTCAACTCTGCCTCCTTATGTTGTGTTGTCTGAAGTCTGAGAGCTGCCCTCCTGGTGGAGGGTAACTGAAGTGCCTTTTTTCCCTCCACCTGAACCAATCCTCATGTAACCCTCTTATCTCTATTAAGGTAGTGCGACTCAGGGTTGCGAATGACCACAGTCACCAATTCTTGTCATGTGTCTTGCCCATGTATGTCTGATCTCTGAATTGTGTGTACTGAAACTCTAATTTCCCTCTGGGATTAATAAAGTATCTTTGATTTGATTTGATTTATTGAACTAAATTAGATTATTTTACTGAAACTTGTTTAACTTGAACAAAAGAAAACTAAAACAAGACAGAGCTTGCGTTGGACTCTTCTCACCATGTTGGATCCCTTTTTGAACCAGGTGAGGGTGAGCGGAGGGTTTCCAGCCCACTTACAGTTCAGGGTGACATCAGAGTCGATGTCGACTGTTTTTGGCTGCGGCTCCACCAACAGGATGGGACCAACTGGAGGTAGAGATGGAGACAGATGTTCGGTCTGAGGGAACATGTGTTCCTCCTTCTGGCTGTGAGGGGAACAAGGTGAGTGACTCACAGTGAACGTCCACCAGGATGCTGACGTTGGTTTTTCCAACAGCATTGAAAACCAGACAGGAGACGGGCTCGGTGAAGAAGGAGTGATCGGCTTTGGTGGTGAACACGCTCTCTCTGGCTCCCTGCAGCACCACGCCACCTTTAGCCCACCTACACGACACACACATCGACTTTTACAACAGCAGCTTCACTGTTGCAGGTTAATACAACAAACACAGAAACAAAGGAACTTCCTAGAAGCATTTTAATTTAACTACATTCAGAAAATGTTTGCAGCATCTGAAGCATGTCAGTGCAGCTGTTACCAGGAATCCATGCATGCATTAAAAATCTGGAATATTTAACTCGCTTCTGTAATCATCTACGCTAAAAAAAAAAAGAGTTTAACTGCTGCCAGCGGCTCATTAGGATCACCGTGGTAACCTAAAGGCCAAAAGCGGCCCAAAGGAGACAGAAATGCATTTAAAGGGACTTTACGGACTTTTGAATTTTTATGCTCGCGATTGCCCCCTCTGGCCAAAAGCGTAACGACAGCTTCAATAGTAGGCTCGTGCACGGGGCACGCATGCTGTACGTGCACACTCCTTAAAGGGGCATTATGGAAGTGTGACAGCCAAAACATGTATGTAAATAATAAAAGTCTTCTTCATACGTTCTCCTGCAATGCCCTGGTCCTGTAGAATGAGCCCTGGCATTTTTACTGTGATTGCCTGTTTTTCTGTAAAATCACAGAAAAAGAGAGATGCTCGGGTCGAGCAGGCTGCTTCATGCAGTGTGTGTGTGTGTGTGTGTGTGTGTGTGTGTGTGTGTGTGTGTGTGTGTGTGTGTGTGTGTGTGTGTGTGTGTGTGTGTGTGTGGTGTGTGTGTGTGTGTGTGTGTGTGTGTGTGTGTGTGTGTGTGTGTGTGTGTGTGTGTGTGTGTGTGTGTGTGTGTGTGTGTGTGTGTGTGTGTGTGTGGCCCGGAGGACAGAGGACAGGAGAACTCGCAGCTAATTAATTAAATAATTTGGTTCTGTAGCTTTCTCTTCAGCACAGCCGACAAAGGTTTATGATGGGTCAGTCCTCCTGCATGCTCAGATCATTCCCTTCTCTTACTTGAAAAATAGTTCCAAAATGAAAGTTGAACCCACATCTTTTTTATCTGTGAATTCAATGCCGTTCAGCGAGTCTCAAATAAAAATTTGGGCATCTTACTGTAAAAAATATACCATTAATGTAAAAAAGAAACTCTAAATGAACTATGTTCACATCCAGAATCAAACCCAGGTCTCCTGCATGAGAGTCCGACGTCTTACTAGGTGAGCTAAAGCACCATTAACATTTGATGTATCTGTAACATTTATATCCTTGATGACAGCTGAAACAACGTCAAACCAAAGAACGGTTCGGAGTGAAAATGGCTATTTTGTTGCTAATTTGCAGGAAATATCTAGAAGAAAGTTCTACAGAAAGTAGCTAAGGGTCCTCAGAAATGTAGCTAGCTTTGTCACTAGGCGTTAGGAACAGCGACAAAGTGGCACTGCCTCTCTCTCTGCTGCTAAAGCTACGGATAGCAAATGCTACGGGCGATGCCTGAGCGTGAACGCGCATGAAGCAGCCTGCTCGACCCGAGCATCTCTCTTTTTCTGTGATTTTACAGAAAAACAGGCAATCACAGTAAAAATGCCAGGGCTCATTCTACAGGACCAGGGCATTGCAGGAGAACGTATGAAGAAGACATTTATTATTTCTACACATGTTTTGGCTGTCACACTTCCATAATGTCCCTTTAAGAGCTGAGAGAGGCGATAATTCAACGGGCTTTTTGTGTAGTTGTGTTTCTTTGTTGTTTGGGGACCAAATGTTGCAGCGTTGTGAGATTGTTGTGACCGTTCCAGCTGAGAACAGGACCATGGCTGATCTGATATCGTCTCTGTTCTGTTGTAGGTTTTGTTACTACGAGACATGCACGCGCGCACACGCACACACACACACACATGCACGCACACGGTGGAAAGCATCTGTGTGACAATAAAGCCGCCTGATGACTCAACAATAACACGTCTGTTTCCAGCAGGTTTCACATGTTCAAATGTCTCCAAAGTTTCTGATTGTGAACATTTTCACATGATGCACGGCAGATGGAAAGGTCGTTTTAGTTCACTTTTAGGCGTGCTGACTCACCGGTGTTTAACACCATCAAACTGGATCGTATTTTCTCAAAACAATCAAGTTGGCCGAGTAAGTTGTTTTCGTTCAAAATTTAAATAAAGCATATTTGGAAAGCTGCCCGACTTTTTCACGAGTGAACCATTCTCGAGGAAGCAGAAGACAACAAACGTCCTGTCTGAATATTGCAGCTTTAAGAGACCCAGAGGCAGAAGCAGACCTGTAGCCCATAATAGGAGGGTTGGCGTGAGCCTGGCAGGTGAAGGTGACTCTGTCCCCTTCCAGGACAGATCGAGGCTCAATGGACAAGGTCACAGTTGGTGGATCTGGAAGGGAGAGACACTCAGATGAAGCACAAGCCAACAGAGGGTAAATCTAATGACATGCTAGTTAATATCTGTTCCTGGTGAGCGTCTCCTTTGCTAGGGTTTTGTGTCAGCAGTGAGAGACTTACGGTGCACGTTGAGGGTGACAGTCGTGCTTTTGCCCGAGGGAATAGCCAGGTTGGTGGCCACACAGCTGTAGTTCCTCCCCGTGTCAGTGTCTATGGGGTGGACAGGAAGGTAGCTGCGAGTGGTCACCCTCTTCCTGTCCGGAAGCACCTCCTGGTGGTGGGAGACTAGAATTACAACCAGCTGTAGCTCCAACAGTGTGTGTGGGTGTGTGTGTGTTACTAAACTCACAGTGATGCTGGCGGCACCGTCCACAGGCAGACCGTCTTTGAGCCACTCAATCATCGAAGGCGGTTTGGCTCCTCGGGACACACAGCTCAGGTTGTAGAACTCTCCGGCGTTCAGCAGCACCTCTGGACCTCCGTCGATCACCGGGTCATCTGGGGGAACTGTAGAGAGAGGGTGTGGTCAGAAACACAGCGTCTCAACACACACACACACACACACGAACACCAACATACTGAGAACGGTCAGCTTGGCTCTCCTGGACCTCAGCGCAGCGTCGGGGGCCTGGCACTCGTACAGCGCGTCGTCAGACAGATCCGCTGACAGGATCTCCAGGTTATACTGACCCAGCTCCTGGACCCGCAGCACTCGATACCTCGGCCAGGCTGGAACACGCACACACACACACACACACACACACACACACACACACACACATGCACGCACACACACGGAAAGAGAGTGAGAGGGAGAACTTCAACCAGAGCTTGTTTCCCACTGTAGAAACGGTCCCCAGCTGTCTGTGTTGTCTCCCCGTGTTTACCCGCTTCCTGCTGTGTGTTTCTGATCGTCTCCTCATCGGTTTGTTTCGACACCATCAGTGTGTTTATTTTTTGTTCTTGCATTGTTTTGTCTACTCAGGTCCTCTGTGTTTGATTACAAAAACAAACAACTTGACCTTTCCTCAGCCACTGAGAAAGATGAAGTCAATAGTTACCATCCCGCCTGTTGTTCAGCTAAAACCAACTTTCATTTCTGCCACCTTAAAATGGCTCCATTACCTAAATTTCAGTTTCATGAAAACTTATTTTAGAACAAATTTGCATTCAATGCTGATTTCAGTAGTTACAGAAACTCTGATGGACTCCAGAAATCAATCATTCTACTAATCACTCTTCAAATCTAATGATCCATTAGGAGACTGGAGCTGTTTTCAGTCACATACTCTGCCTAGCTGTTAGCTAATCGGTCCTGAATGATGAAAACATTATTTTTCTAAACAGGAAGTATTAGCCTCTTTTATAAAGCAATGCCACCAATTAGCCACAAAGCTGAGGCAGCATCAGGGAGCCTTCGGTTGCTTATAGGTGGTCAGATCACGGTAATAATGTGGCACAGTCGTGTCCTTCTTACTAAATATCATGCAATGGCAGAACCTGTGTTGCCAACTGTTTTTGACTGAAAGTAGCTGAAGTTCCCCCCAAAAGTCGCTAGATGTCGCCAGATGATGTCACGTGCTAATTTGCGTACGAAACAAGGACGTCATCTGGTTTGCGTGATGACATCACCGGTCTTGTAGAGTAAATCAAATAAAACCCGCGTGATTTTTATTAAAAAATTATTTAAAGGGACTCTAAGGAAGTGTGACAGCCAAAACATGTACAGAAATAATAAATGTCTTCTTCATACGTTCTCCTGCAATGCCCTGGTCCTGTAGAATGAGCCCTGGCATTTTTACTGTGATTGCCTGTTTTTCTGTAAAATCACAGAAAAAGAGAGATGCTCGGGTCGAGCAGGCTGCTTCATGCGCGTTCACGCTCAGGCATCGCCTGTAGCATTTGCTATCCGTAGCTTTAGCAGCAGAGAGAGAGGCAGTGCCACTTTGTCGCTGTTCCTAACGCCTAGTGACAAAGCTAGCTACATTTCTGAGGACCCTTAGCTACTTTCTGTAGAACTTTCTTCTAGATATTTCCTGCAAATTAGCAACAAAATAGCCATTTTCACTCCGAACCGTTCTTTGAACGTTGTTTCAGCTGTCATCAAGGATATAAATGTTACAGATACATCTAATGTTACTGGTGCGTTAGCTCACCTAGTAAGATGTCGGACTCTCGTGCAGAAGACCTGGGTTTGATTCTGGATGTGAACATAGTTTATTTAGAGTATATTTTTTACATTAATGGTATTTTTTTTTACAGTAAGACGCCCAAATTTTTATTTGAGACTCGCCGAACAGCATTGAATTCACAGATAAAAAAGATGTGGGTTCAACTTTCATTTTGGAACAATTTTTCAAGCAAGGGAAGGGAATGATGTGAGCATGCAGGAGGACTGACCCATCATAAACCTTTGTCGGCTGTGCTGAAGAGAAAGGTACAGAACCACATTATTTAATTAATTAGCTGCGCGTTCCCCCCCCCCCCCCCCCCCCCCCCCCCATACACACACACGGGACTGTCTCAGCTGTTATTTTCATTAAGGAGTGTGCACGTACAGCATGCGCGCCTCGTGCACGAGCCTACTATTGAAGCTGCCATTACGCTTTTGGCCTGAGGGGGCAATTGCGAGCATAAAAATTCAAAAGTCCGAAAAGTCCCTTTAATTTATTTTTTCATATTTTATTAAAATAAAAACCCCATAGAATACAAAACAGCAGCCTTTAAAACATCAAGGAAAGATGGCACATAAAAATGGAAGGAATATTTCTATTTTGTCTGAAGAGAATGGAACTCGTAAACACAAAAATATTGAATTGATAGGAATGTATGTATGATTGAATTAAAATGAATTTTCTGTTGTAGTTTTCAAGTGCCTTGAGATGTATTCTTCTGTTGTGATTCAGTGCTATATATTGACCTAAAAGATCATATATATATATATATATATATATATATTGTTTTTGTTTGGTTTTGTTGTTTTTAGTACTTTTGTGTAGAAAGAAGCAGGTCGTATTTAGTATTCAGAGACATTACATGCAAACTGCCAATGACCTGCCAATGACTTACAGTATTATTCTGTTTTTTATAAAAGTTTTAAATGTGCTACGTTTTTGAACTCATCATAGAGTTCCAATGTTCCTTGAATGCACCACAGGTGGTGCGAGAAGCCATGTGAGTGAGACGCTGCCTGCCAGTGCCAGCCGAGCTCAGCTGCCGAAATGCGGCAGGATGGCGGAAGGAGCGGTCGCCCTTTATGTAGCTCCGGTAGCTATCTCAAATAATGGACTTGTGAAAACCCACAAAAGGTTTGATTGGTCAGTGGGGGTAGCGTGATCATGCTGCACGCACATGCGCAGATCATTTTCTTTCTGGTCCTCTGGAAGGAAGAACGGTTCTGTTGCTTCAGTTGCATCTCTAATCTGCAGGTAAAGTCTGCTACAAAGTTGTAGTCAAAGTAGCTGAGGGGGGTCAGAAATGTCGCCAGATTTGTCGCTGGGCGCTTTTTTGAAAAAACGTCGTTAAGGGGGTCTGAAAAGTCATTAGAAATGGCGACAAAGTTGCTAAGTTGGCACCACTGGGCAGAACAAAGGGGGTATGTCAGACGTTCCCTTAGCTTGAACATAATTTGCTTTTTATATTTTGATTGAAGCCGCTCTACTTATGTTTTTTTCACAGGCCACTCCCAAAGGTGTGAGTCCTTCACAGTCCGCATGAACTGTCTGGTGATCTGAGCTTCAGCTCTAACAGAGAGAACGTCTTGGAGCTCGTATTACTCCAGTTTAAGGTCTCGGCAGATTCTGTTTACAAAAGCAAATCTTGCCCTTATTAACTTTCATTTTCAACATGGTTGTCAACCGGGGCTTGACACCACCCTTTATTGCGCCAAGGCATAATCTTCATTCACAAGTCCAGCAATGCGGTGATATTACTACCAAGTGTGGTAGCACAAATTCCCGCATCACCTTGCCACCACAGCCCTTTCGTGAAACACACCATGGTGGCAGTATTGTGCAGATTTGCTGGCAAGGTGTGTCTTGAAAAAGCAGCTGATGGCTAAAATCATTCATCAGACAGTTGCTTCACCCCCCCCCCCCCCCCCTCCCCCACTCCTCTCCTCACATGGGATTGTGAGGTCCTTGGATCAGTTCGCCGGTAACTCGTATCACTACATCCTAGATGAGACAGACTATATCCACCCCTGACTCTCCCTTTCACTTCTTTGAAGTGGAGGCTGAAGGTTGTGCTAGATAGCTGCAGAATCACTCAGTCGCATGAGAGATCTTCGCCCCTTCCCACCCACCACACGTTTGATTATGTTGTGATTGTCTGAATATGTGCTTTTAGGTTTGAGGTGTTCTTCCTGCACCCCATCTTTGTCCGTGTTGGGGACTGGGTGGGGGGCCTGCTTTTGTCCCTCATCCCTTCCCCTTGTCACCCTTTACTTTTTATCTGCATTTAGAAGCTATAGAGTGGTTGCATGCCCAGTCAGCTTGTTTCTGTCTACATGTATCGTATGTCTGCTCTTGGAAAGCTGTAACTGGAACAAAAAGTTTTGTTGTACCGAGATGCTGGTTTATCCATTCTCTTCCGCTTATCTGGGGTCAGATCGCAGGGGCAGTAGCCTAAGCTGGAAGGCCCGGATTTCCCTCTCCAGCCACTTGGGCCAGCTCCTCCGAGGGAATCCTAAGGTGCTCCCTGGACATCAGAGAGATGTAGTCCCTCCAGCGCGTCGCCTTCTTGCTCGGCTCTTTCTTCACCACGACAGATCGGTGCGCCCGCATCACTGAAGATGCAGCACCAGTCTGCCTATAGATCTCCTGATTCATCTTTCCATCACTCGTTAACAAGACCCTGAGATACTTAAACTCCTTCACTTGAGGCAGGACCTCTTCCCTGACCCGGATCAGATTTAGGGGAGCTGATACTCATACCAGCTGCTTCACACTCGGCTGTGAACCGCTCCAACATAAGCCTGAGTTCACGGACTGATAAAGCCAACAGGACCACATCATCTGCGAAAAGGCCTGATCCTTAGGCCACCAGAGTGGATCCCCTCAACACATCTGCTGCACCTAGAAATCCTGTCCATCCAAACGTTATGGACAGAATCTGTGACAAAGCGCAACCTTGGAGGAGTTCAACTCTCACCAGGATTGAGCCCGACTCAAGCCTGATTTATACTTTTCCCATTCTCCCTCGCAATCTCCAGAAGCCCCCAAGTATACAAAGCTGGTCCAGTGGTTCACGGCCAGGATGAAAACCACATTGCTCCTCCTGAATCTGAGGCTCAACTATTTGACGGATACCTCCTCCTCTCCAGAACCCCCGAATAGACCTTACCGTGGAGGCTCAGAAGTGTGATCCCCCTGTATTTGGAACACACCCTGCAGCCCCCTTTTTAAATAGGGGACTACCACCCCAGTCTGCCAATCCAGTGGAACTGCCCCTGTTGTGTATGCAATATCCTAGCGCCGCATCAACCAACACAGCCCTACAACATCCAGAGCCCGAAGGAAATCTAGGCAGATCTCATCCACCCCCAGAGCCTTGACGCCGAGGAGATTTTTGACCACCTCAGTGGCCTCAGCTCAAGAAATTGGTGAGCCCAAACCAAAGCCCCCAAACTCCTCTTCCTCATTGGAAGACGTGCCGGTGGGATTGAGGAGGTCTTCAAAGTACTTCGCATACCAGTCCACAATGTCCTGAGTCAATGTCAGCAGCACACC